CATTTTCGTCAATGAAATAAAATAAACACAAAAAGGCTTAAATTAAATAGAAAGAAAACAAACTAGTTACATCTCACCTTGATAAAACAAAAACTATAATTATTATTCATTTTCAAAACCATGAAAAATCAAGCCATTGTCCACGGGAGCCAACTCATGAAGAAAGGTTTCACCTTCGCTTCTCTTTTTAGATGAGGTGACCTGCGACGCCAGCGGCGACTTTCAGTGTGACAACCATCGGTGCATCCCGCTCAGGTGGCGCTGTGACGGCGACGACGACTGTGGGGACAATTCTGACGAACGCAGCTGCAGTGAGTCCTCACCACACTTTGTGTGTGTGTGTGTGTGTGTGTGTGTGTGTGTGTGTGTGTAATTGCTTTATCTTGTGGGGAAATTCGTAAATTACAATTTCATACTTACCTTAAATCCTGGGATTTGAGGTGAATTGAAAAATTGTTTTAGTATATTTGTTTCTTATTTTCCCATATTCAACAGAGTTGAAATCAATCAAACTGCATAATGTCACAGTGACTTACAATAATATTAGGCTTATATTTTCTAGGAATAAAATCCCCGAGAGCCACGTATTTTTTGAGTTGGCACTAGTTGTCAAAATTTTAAGAACCTCTGCCTCAGTCTCGCTCTTACTGAGAATTGTGCATGAAAATAGAGCACCGAAGGCGAATAAATCTTCTGCCATGCTTTTATCAAGGATGATTTTTTTTTTTTTTTTGCAAGAGGCTTCACACTTCTGCTGACAGCTGGCTGCCGTAAGAGGAGACAAGCGAGCTTATCAGCAGCTTGAGAAACAGTCTGTCCTCAGGAGATAGGGAGTCTGTCACCTTTGACCATTACCGAATTAAATCATGCCTGAGAAGGTGCTGCTTAATAAGGAGGAAACCCGATTTGGAGCCTCGCTGGTGCTGCTGAACTTACAGAGGCCGAGGTGTTTTTCTTGGGGTCATTATAAGGAGTAAAATAATACAGAGACCTTGAAAGCATGTTAATGTGTTCCTTGGCTCTTGATAAATGTGTCTCAGATGATGGAATTTGTGAAAATCAAGAAATATCTGCCTTTTCCCTCTCCTCAGCGCCACGCGCGTGCACCGAGAGCGAGTTTCGCTGCGATAATCTGCACTGCATTCCCGACCGTTGGGTCTGTGACCATGACAACGACTGTGAAGACAACTCGGATGAAAGGGACTGTGGTGGGTGGAGGCTCTTTGTTTTGGCTGGGGGGGGTCTGGCTGTTTGCGAGTAACTGTGGACCACCGTGCCAAGACGCAATAAAACGGGCATTTTTGAGCAGAGGAGACAGACGGGACCACCTGTCATCTTTTATTCAGACAGAATGAAAGCTTCCATGCGTACACTGACTGGTGGAGTAGGAGGGGGGACAATAGTTGAGCATGTCACACTAAGACTTGATGATAGAATATAAGCAAGTACATAACAACAAGTTATTTGGAGGGGGAAGAAATGATGTAAAATTCTTTAAAAGTCATTCATTTCCAATCATTCCCAATTCAGCTATTTCATGTATATGTTGCCAATGAATTGTCTTGTATTCACAACAGAATCGTAACGCCCACAATGTTTGTACGTGTAACGAAGTGATCCAGCAATGCGCGTGTGTTGCAGAGCTACGGACGTGCCACCCTGGCTACTTCCAATGTGGAAGCGGACATTGCATCGCCGACCGCTTCAAATGTGACGGCAACGCCGACTGCGCGGACTACACGGATGAGTCGTCGTGTCGTGAGTTTGGACATTTTGATGCTCGCTTTTGATTGCAAACATGTTTTGTTTTTTTGGTGGGGGATGATTTTGGTGCATTTTAACATGGTGGTGCTCCTCCTCAAACAGTGTGCGGCCGCACATAGCGCACACACCAGAAACCACTTCATGTTCATGTTCAGCATATTTTTATTTATATTTTATTTTTATATATTTTTATATACCCGTATATATTTATTTGTTTGTATTAGATTACAGCGATAGCCGTGCTATTTTGAATGAATTTCACAGATCAGCTTGGTAGCAATGCTCTACATTTACTTTGTTACATTTAGTAACTTTTTGAATAAAACGCATTGGTCAGAGTAGTTTTAATGCAACATACTGAGATTCAATTTTATGCTTGATCAATTTTCGGTTTCATATTGAGTTTTCAACGTTGTGTTCCTGACTTTTAGCACCACGCTTCCCAAACGGCACCCACTGCCCCCACTTCCTGTTTGAGTGCAAGAACCACGTCTGCGTGCAGCCTCACTGGAAGTGCGATGGAGACGACGACTGTGGGGACAATTCCGACGAGGAGCTTCACCTCTGCTGTAAGGAAAACGCATGCGCAGGGAGTCCATCCATTTCCAAACTTGTCACGTGTCATTGTCAACTTTGTACCCGCAGTGACAGTCAAGTGTGAGACGCAGTTCCGTTTCCGCTGCGATAACAACCGGTGCATCTACAGCCACGAGCTGTGCAACTCGGTGGACGACTGCGGCGACGGCTCGGATGAGAGACAAGAAAACTGTGAGAGGATTTTGAAAGCATCCATTCCTTTATTGCGTGCTTCTCTATCAATCCTGGAGTGTGATGTTTCTGTCCGTCCAGGCCAAAGCCCCACACACGGACCCTGCGCTGACGAGGAGTACAAATGCAGTAATCGACAGTGCGTTCCTCTTCAGTACGCCTGCGATGATTATGACGACTGCGGGGACCAATCGGATGAACTCGGCTGCCGTACGTAACGACTCCGACCGCGACTCAGCCCAAGTTGTCATTGAATATTCCCTGAAAAATGAATAAAAATGACATTTTTATTTGTGAGCTAAAACCTCCTTTGATTGATCTTATTTGTGTAAATGCATCCGGCAAATTGGGAAAGGCCAACCTAACGTATTGAGCGTGACTTTGTTTAGCCACTGACAATTACTTACTACATAATTCGATTCTTGTTTTCTTGTTTCGAGCTGCAGTAAACGCTCAACACATTATTGCATGCTTCCCTATCAGACCATGAGAGCACGCACTCTTGCAGTGCCCACATATGTGAACACAACTGTACTGACCTGACCGACGGAGGCTTCTTGTGCTCCTGCATGCCAGGCTACCGGGCCAAAAGTGGCGAACGACACACCTGTGAAGGTATCAGCATCCGGTTCCTTCTAACCAAACGTTGATAGAGAAAGTCAAACATTGTCATACATGCTTTAAACATTTGAAATTGTGCTAACTGTTGAAAGCAGATGTTTTATTTTGAGTCGCCAGCAAGATGGTCCCAATACTTTTTATGTTTACGCTCAACTTTGTCTGTTTGGGGGAAAATAAAAAAGATATCAACGAGTGTGAGGTGTACGGCATTTGTCCGCAAGAGTGCAAGAACACAAAGGGAAGCTACGAGTGTTTCTGCGCTGAGGGCTTTGTCTCCTTTAGCGAGCCGCGTGGGACCCATTGTGCCGCCCAAGGTAAGAAAGGGCTCTGCAAAGACACAATTTAACTTGATTTGAGGGTTGCACCTCATTGCTCAAAATGTATTTATCTGTATCATAAAAGGAAACCCACCAGTACTTCTCCTGCCGGATAACGTCCGTATCCGCCGTTTCAATCTTTCATCGGAGCAGTATTCAGACTATGTGGACAATGCCGAGCATATCCAAGCTCTGGACTACTTGTGGGATCCAGACAAACAAGGCCTTAGTAAGGATATACTTTTTTTTGGTTTTGTTTGTCTGTAGCAACAAAAAGAATTGCCGACATGATCACTTTCTTGTTTTAGGTGTTGTGTACTGGACAGTTGTGGGTCGAGGGTCAGAGTTTGGCTCCATCAAACGGGCCTATATGACCACCTTCAATGATCACGGCAGCAACCCGGTCAGAGACATGGACCTCAACCTGAAATATGTGGCCAATCCCGACGGCATCGCTGTAGATTGGGTTGGCGGGTAATTCACCGGAGCTTGTTTGGTGTTTTCCTTTTTGGCCCCGTTGGCCATTGTTTCAAACGTCCACCTTCGTTTTCAGGCATATCTACTGGACTGACGCTGGCACCAATCGCATTGAAGTGGCCAAACTGGATGGGCGTTACAGGAAGTGGTTGGTCCACACTGACCTCGACCAGCCCGCTGCTATCGTCGTCAATCCCGCACTTGGGTATGGTTGCTTGACTTGGATTCAATTGTACAATGTGTTGTATAAAGATTGATCACTGTAATGTGGTCCTGGCAGAACAATGTATTGGACAGACTGGGGTAGGAAACCCAAAATCGAGTCCGCATGGATGGATGGCCAAAGCAGGCAGGTGCTGGTCAGTGAAGAAGACTTAGGCTGGCCTACTGGTCTGGCTCTCGACTATCTGAATGCGCACAGGATTTACTGGTGTGACTCCAAAGAAAACGTCATTGGGTCCATGAAGCCTGATGGCACAGACAGGAAGATCATCATATCAGGAGGTCAGAGTCACGCGTTATGGTCCCAGACATTTGGTCACAATGAGACATGACAAGAATGCATACTGATGGTACAGTACCTGTATTGTGTCCATGGTTTCAGATATTGGGAATCCATACAGTCTGGACCTGTTTGAGGGCCACGTGTACTGGACAACAAAGGAGAAAGGGGAAGTGTGGAGGACTAATAAGTTTGGGAAAGGAAACAAAGTCAAAGTGTTAACTATCAACCCCTGGCTGACTCAGGTTCGCATTTACCAGGAGCACCGACACAACCACTCAGGTCAGTCGTTAATCACACAAGTAAAAAAAAAAACAATGCTCTCGATTCTCCTGAAAGGAACTTTTGTGCTTCCACTGTACATTGTTTGCTAATATATTAGACTTGTATTGGGTGTATTGTAACAACAACTGAAAGGTGTACGTGAATATACATATTTGAGAGCCTTTCCAATCTGTGCCACACAAGAAAAAAAAATGTAATACCGAAGATATAATGGCATTTTTGGAAGATTAGTGGACCCGTTGACCAGGACGTGACAGTGGCGATGAAACGCTTGTAGCGCACAAGCCAGAAATTCAGACCAACTTTGTAGTTGCGAAAATGTAAATTCCAGTCTGTCTGTCTTAAATCAAGCTAGCTAGCTAAAACTAGCTATCTTAAGATAGCTAGTTTTAGCTAGATTTAATTTTTAAAAACATCTGGGGTACCCTATTAAGTCATTTAAGTTACAGTTTAGTTAGTTGTCCAAACAAAGGGTTAATTGGTCTGACATTTTTATTATCAAATAATTACTTTATAATGTGACTTTTTTCATTGTCTATTATTTATTTAACATCAGTTGTCTCATTGGCGTGATTCTGCTTTGCTCTCAGTGCCCAACCCTTGCAAGAATGTTTGCAGTCACCTGTGTCTACTCCGGCCAGGTGGTTACACTTGTGCCTGCCCTCAAGGTTCCTCTGCGCTGGATTTCGACTCGGGCGAATGCGATGCAGGTACACCACAACCTGACTGCATGTGCTGTCTTTGCCCCCGCTTGTGTCTGTCATCACGTGTTTGGCTGCTCCCCTTGTGGTTTGATTTGGTTGTGAATTTGTTTTATTTTTGCTTGATTTTATTTTCGCCCGGCTTCTTCTTCTGCAGCCATTGAGGCACCGGTCGCGATGCCTCTTGCATGCAGATGCATGAATGGTGGGACCTGCTACACTGACGAAGGAGGTCTGCCCAAGTGCAAGTGAGTGTCGTTGCTCGATGTTTCATCGCAGTCCATCAAAGTTCACCCGGTATTTCATCATCCTGTCTTTTGCAAAGATGTCCTCACGGTTATTTGGGCAGCTACTGCGAAATGGGCAAGTCTCGAAGCGCTCCCACAGGAACAGGTACTACGGCATCATTAACCAGCGAGATCCAATATAAGAACCGACTCACAGATGATGCACTCACAAATACTTAAAACTGCTGGGTTTAAAGTAACCCAAATTGGGTTGAAATAGCTTACCCGGTGTCAGATCTAAATGGGGCGGAGCCAATAGTGGGTTATTTATACCGAGCGCATTAGATTGTAATGTAATCATATTCTTTCTGTCTCAAGCTGTGGCAGTTCTACTCGCAGTCATCATCATCATCATTACTGGAGCTTTGGCAGTCGGGGTCTTCCTCAACTACAAACGAACTGGATCCTTCATCCCTTCTATGCCAAAGCTGCCTAGGTAGCTAAGCTTTTGCCATCCTGTTCAAATGTACACGTGGTGCAACTGATGCTTTCCAAAGAGTCTTAAATTAACGAAATAATTATGTTTTCCTAGCCTTAGCAGTCTGGTGAAATCTAGCGACACGGGGAATGGAGTGATGTTCCACTCGGGTGATAACGTGGACCTCGGACCAACGCGCATTGGAGTGTCCTTCATCGATACCGCCATGCAGATGGTGAGTTCTACCTGCAGGAACAGAGACTAGAAGGTGGCGGGAAAAAGACAGCATCTATAAAGACCATCAAAGCATTTTCACTCATCAGTCACTTGTGTGCCGCTCACCAGAAGCTAATGCTAATCTTTTCATCCAGTAAAACTTGATGCGGCTCTGCTTACCTTTTGCGTTTGACATGATAACAGAGGAAAAATACCTGTAGGGGAAAGATGATGTTTCTTTGTGATGTAGCGTTTCAGAAAGTGGCTCTGAATCTTCACACAGCCTTGCCGTCTTAAGTCATGGGTGGAAAAGCTCAGTGCGGGGGCGGTTACTTTGTAAATTAGCCCTACTGTTTGTCCCCTTTAAGGAAAAAAAATGTTGACTATGTGTTTGGGAATGAATTATTTCTTTTTATTAATGGTAGTCCAATGTCACCATAGGATGATCATTTTGCCATGGAAGTGGCGAGGCATCCTGTCACCTTTGAGAATCCGTTATATGCTAACACAGCCGCCATGGCCGCTGACCCAGCAGTCATCCATGCCTCGCAGGTACACAAGCACACCTCAAACGTCTTCAAATGCCTGACACACAAAGTGAGTGGCCGGAAGGCACATCAGCATACATTCTTAGCCATTCGCTGTTTTTAGAATGTTTCAGAACTTCAATGTTTATATGGGGTAAGACTTAGGCGACATTATTTTTGTAACAATCATTGATGCAATTTTTTTTTCCCAGTAAACCCCAATAGATCAAATTGTTTTGAGAACAGTCGATAGGAATAGTTGATAAATCTCATTTCCTCTTTACTTGGATATTTTTTAAAACCTTTCTAATGGCCCAGCAATTATTAATTTGCTCTTCAGGCGTGTACACAAAACTAACATTTCACTTTTTTTTTTTTGCTCATGAACAGGTTACCGTAAACTTGAGTGGCGAGAAATTACAGAACAACTTTGTGAACCCGGTGTATCACACAGAGCTGAGCGGGGGCCTTGTAAACACGTCGACCAAACCTGTTGAAGTCAGTCTCTTCTTATACTTGATTATCAAGACGAGGCCTAATTTGTGTGTATTGTATAATTTTGCATTATCATTATTACGAATAAGTCTATCTTAAAATAAGGAATATAATCTTCCCCGCTATTGTCAGGGGGACAGACACCTTAGCCTTACCAAAAATACCAAAAAAGAATGCTTCAAAGCCCTAATTTTGTCTAAAGGAAGTTTCTCAGCTAACTCCAAGATAGTTTTTGGCACCAACATGCCACAAAGTGGCACCAAAAGCAATAATAGGAACACTTAAGCAAAGAATGTAGGGCAGGTTCTGTGAATTGTTGGGAGAACAGTGTACCCCATACTTCCATCGGTATATTTGGTGTCAATACGCTAGTTTCACAATATTGATTAAGTTTTCTGAGGCTGGCTATGTGAACTAGTTTTAAGAAATCAAATGTTCATATAATTACATTTTGTTGTTTTTTTAATGCATTTTTGTTTTGCAGTGGTAGTATACAAATACTGTATGTACAAAGTACGTCAATTAATGTGTGATGAGTGTAACTTTTCTAGAAGGAGTCAACGTGGAGCTTATTCAAGCGCAAACTCAAGCCCAGCAGCCCATTTGAAAACCAGTCCTACTCCAAGGTGAGTTAGGCTAGATTTTGAATTGAAAGAATCAGTTAGATAAGATAAGAAAACCTTTATTAGTCTCGAATTCATTCCTTTATCAATTCACAGCAGCAAAAGCGGGGGCCTTGTAAACATGTCGACCAAACCTGTTGAAGTCAGTCTCTTCTTATACTTGATTATCAAGACTAGGCCTAATTTGTGTGTATTGTATAATTTTGCATTATCATTATTACGAATAAGTCTATCTTAAAATAAGGAATATAATCTTCCCCGCTATTGTCAGGGGGACAGACACCTTAGCCTTACCAAAAATACCAAAAAAGAATGCTTCAAAGCCCTAATTTTGTCTAAAGGAAGTTTCTCAGCTAACTCCAAGATAGTTTTTGGCACCAACATGCCACAAAGTGGCACCAAAAGCAATAATAGGAACACTTAAGCAAACAATGTAGGGCAGGTTCTGTGAATTGTTGGGAGAACAGTGTACCCCATACTTCCATCGGTATATTTGGTGTCAATACGCTAGTTTCACAATATTGATTAAGTTTTCTGAGGCTGGCTATGTTAACTAGTTTTAAGAAATCAAATGTTCATATAATTACATTTTGTTGTTTTTTTTAATGCATTTTTGTTTTGCAGTGGTAGTATACAAATACTGTATGTACAAAGTACGTCAATTAATGTGTGATGAGTGTAACTTTTCTATAAGGAGTCAACGTGGAGCTTATTCAAGCGCAAACTCAAGCCCAGCAGCCCATTTGAAAACCAGTCCTACTCCAAGGTGAGTTCGGCTAGATTTTGAATTGAAAGAATCAGTTAGAAAAGTAAGAACAAAACAGAAATTACAGGAATTCATTCCTTTATTTTTATCTTTTTATTTTTTGGACAGATGAGGGACGACAAGTCCGAAGGAAGCAGAGGCGGCGACCCCTCGACACCGGAGCCCTTTGCCCCACCGCCCAAACCTCAAAGGAGGGATCATCATCATCATCACCACCACCATCATCATCATCATCCAAGCACCTTTTCACCAACCGAGGACAGTTTCAAAGACACGGCCACTCTCGTTAAAGAGGGGTTCAACAGCACCGATCTCTCCGCTGAACAAAGCGGGGCTGTGAAAATGCTGCCCATTACAGGCGCAAGACACAAGCGCCCCCGGAGCTGTCCAGCAACGACAGTCAAATGGCGCCGACATTCCTCCCAATCAAAAACAGTGCTGGCATACCCATGCTGCCGAGAAAGCAAAACCACCAAGCACCGAGTCTCCTCCTTGATGAATGTCGTGGCCAAAAAATGCTGAAAACAGTCCACATCAGGTCCACACGACGTAACAACAAACACAAAGTGACAAAACAAACAGAAAAACAACAAAAAAAGCAAGGAGAAAAGTAAGAACAAAACAGAAATGACAGGAATTCATTCCATTTTTATTTTTATCTTTTTTTTTTTTGGACAGATGAGGGACGACAAGTCCGAAGGAAGCTTAGGCGGCGACCCCTCGACACCGGAGCCCTTTGCCCCACCGCCCAAACCTCAAAGGAGGGATCATCATCATCATCACCACCACCATCATCATCATCATCCAAGCACCTTTTCACCAACCGAGGACAGTTTCAAAGACACGGCCACTCTCGTTAAAGAGGACAGTGACGTATAACCCCGCCCTCACCGACGGGGAATCACACTTTGCACAGAATTTATTTTTTTATGCAGCCTGTGGGGAATAAAAAAAAAAATGAATTGTTATATTCATAAGATATATATAATGTAGTGGTGCCTTGAGATACGAGTGACCCAAATGAGCTGTTGTTCAGCAGAAGGAAATTCCTGTACTTCAAAAAAAGAGGCTTCAAGCCGTTAAAGGCCACTCCCACTTGAAGTTTACTGTCAAACTGAACACAAAACTAAAATAATTATACACCCGTGTATGAACAACAACCACATAACCTTTTGCTATCTTCATGCTAACACAAAATACAAAATGCCATTGCTGTAGTTGATAGCAATGACTATTAGAACACAAACAGTGCATCAACACATGTAGAGTGACAATATAACCATACTCACAGGCATATTTATGTTATCCTCTGCAAAAGAAATAAATATATTATACTGTCTCCTGGCAGCCACGTTCCAGGAGCCACAATCATTATTCACAAACAGTTTTATTCTATTTCGTTATCTTTTTCCATTCTATTTAATTGCCCTTTTACAATCTATTCCATGAAGTACATGTAACGTGCTATTTTTGTACGACAAAACATTTTTTTTTTTTAAATAAATAAAGCCGGTACCGATTATTGTCATTGTGATCTTTTTATATTAGTAATGATATTGCAATAACAGAAGGCAATTGTTTGAAACAATATACTTGAACATGCTTGTGCATGGATGTTAATTTATGTTAATGATTATCTCCTCGAGCCACGCATGCCCTAAGAATGCAGATGAGTTATTTTCTACCCAACGTGAAGGCATTTCACAACTCAAACAATCACAAATAAAACTTGCTTTCTCTGATCATTGACAAAAAGCCTGTCCAGTTAAAATTGCTGCTGCTGAGACGTGACTGAATAAACGTTTGAATTGGGTGACCATCCCCAAGTTCCTCTTCATCACCTCCTCGCCGCTGCAGGTGAAGGTAGAAGCATGCTGATAACAAAGTCGGACACGACGGAAGGCAGGTAGGACAACGGGATCCAGAAAAGTTTGGCGTCCCAGCCGGCGGTGTAGCGCGTGCGGGGGAATCGGGCAGTCAAGGCGTGCTCCATGCAGCTTGTCACCAAGGAGATGCGTGAACTGCACAGGATGCCCATGGAGAAGGCCTGCGCCTTCACGTCTGCAAGGTCACAACGTTGGACACATTTTAGTTAACTGAAATCCAGTGGATCACCATAGGACAAAAATGACCTGGAAGTGCTTTATTTGTGTGAGAGAGGTAAATGTGTTTGTTTTTTCATTTTTTTTGAGATCGTAGAGCCCACTTTTTACTCACAATCATCAAGGTATGTCTCTCCATAGGAGCTTTTTGTTTCTTGAGGGAGGCGAGTCCAGACCCTTTTGAGGTCAGCTTCTATGAGATCCAGTCGTGTCACGTTGGTCTTGAAGAAACCAGGTTCAATGATGCTCACTTTGATACCAAAGTGCTGCATGTCTTGCCTAGCCAAGAGTGACACACTCATTTAACACATATACAATATGTACTGTTTATATAGGGACATATACAAAATATTCTACACAAATCATGTTTGATGCCATTAATTGGTTCAAGCTCCCACTTTCCCTAAAAAATGTTTGCAATCTGTTTTTTAATACAAAAATAGCACTCTATAATGCAAGGCCCCCTGCATACTTGTCACCGATGGATTCACCTATTTCCTATTCATGGATTATTTTTCCCAATATTTTTTTAAACTCACCATAATTACATTATTAAATAGGATGTAAATAATTTGACTGTTTTTGGAACATATACTTGTCACCGATGGATTCACCTATTTCCTATTCGTGGATTATTTTTCCCAATATTTTTTAAAATATATTTTTTAAAACTCACTATAATTACATTATTAAATAGGATGTAAATAATTTGAGTGTTTTTTTGGAACATCTTTTGTGTTTCAGTTCAATGGACATTATACTCCTCCTCCTGGTAGGTGCCCCATGGCCAGACTAATAAAGGTTTTTCTTATCTTATCTTATCTTTTGTGTTTCAGTTCAATGGACATTATGCTCCTCCTCCTGGTAGATGCCCCATGGCCCCCTGGGGGCAGTATAATACAGATATCCACACCCACACAGAAGAGTGAAGAAGAATTTCACAAGTGACTCAAGCGGCAGTAGTATTAGTCATTTTTCCTCAAGAATATTTACCTGTAAGTTTTATTAGATTTGTCTAAATGTGTTGCTATAATATTTAGGTTCAAATATCTGTTGCTTAAAGTGATGTAAGACTGGGACACCAAAGCTGTTCGTGAGCCTGTCTATATTTTGCATCGTGTGTTAGCATTAAGCTAAACGAATTGTTATAAGGCTAGGTGGTTGTGTGAAATGCACAACATTTTGTATCATTAATTCTCTTTTGTTTTGAGTTTAGTTCAGCCCTTCCAACAAAAAGAAGGCGACTTTGCTGTCACTAACGGTGCTGGTCCGCGTACCTGAGGCCGTCCGAGAATGCCTCCAACCCCCACTTGGAAAGACAGTAGCCTCCCCCGATGAGCGCCAGTCGGCCCAAAATGCTCGCCACGTTCACCACCCGGCCCCGAGCCTTCTTCAGGAACGGGAGGAAGTGGAGCGTCACGTCCACCGCGCCCGTCAGGTTCACATCCAAAACATTTGTGAAATCCTCCAAGTGCATCCACTCTACCGGGCCTATCGGTGTGGATCGGCCAGCGTTGTTCACCAAACCCCACAGACCTGCAGAGGAAAAAAAGCCGGCTCATTAGCGGCAACTGAGAGGTCGAGGTAAGGTTACTCTATTGGCTCGCTTTTATCTATTTATCTATTTAGTTTTCATTTTACACGCTCCAGATTTTAAATCCCACCTGTAGGACGCCAATCGGGGCCCAAAAGCAATTATGTGGAGGCTGGCTGTTATTGTACACAATTGCAATCCTGCCCTCTTGTGGCGGAATGAAAAAAGAGAGAAAATAATCGAGGACAGCTTGAGAGTGTTTCCGAGGCTATTTGCAATGATCTACCCATTAATGGACTGCACACACTGTGACAAACACAATACGGGCTTTTTAGCCACAGCAACATTTGAAATTATACGCTATTACCGTAAAACACAAATTCATATTGTCCACTGTATGTCGACGGCTTCAATTAGGGGTGCAAAACGGGCCCTCATAGAAAGCTTGAATGTGTCAGCGGCTGTGAAAAGTGTGTGGGATGCTTATTCTCTCCCTCCACATTGCATTAAAAGTATCTATCCAACTTGTCAGTAGGAGGAGGAAGAGTTGATGAGGAGGAGTAGCCAGGAGGCGGGGTGTCAATCCAGGTTATCTCTCGGCGCCTCACTCGGACTGGCACTCTATCAGCCCGCGGCCCCCTCTGCTCCTCACCCGGCTCACCTCGCTCTCCCACCTCTTTGCTCACAAACTCCCGCGCTCTCCTGATGCTCTCGCCGTCTGTTACGTCCAGGAGGAGCGTCCTTAGCCTGGGGGAGGCCGAGCGAGCCAGCTCAGCCGAGCCTGTCTCGGTGAAGCACGCCGCTATGACGCGGAAACCTTTGCCATCCAGCCGCCTGGCCAGTAGGTTGCCGAAGCCGCTGTCGCAGCCTGTGATGAGCACGTGCTTGAGGTTAAAGGCGTCCACCTTGAAGGAGTCTCTAATGTACCGGCATGTGGCGGCGAGTGAAGCCACAAGTAGGAAAGACGTCAAAACCAGATGGGACACCAGAACCTGAAATGTCATATTTCATTTTTTCCTGTAGGCAACATTTTCAGCCCTTTAAAATTGAATGAGAATCATCAAAATACCTCTAAAATACCTGATGTCACTCCTTCAGTCACCTGAGAGGACAAAAACAATTACAAAATGAGTTCTCATGGTTTCAATGAGCTAAATTGCATTAAAAAAGTTCTGAGAAAGGCTCTGTGGTCAAAGGCAGCAGTGCCGAAAGTTTAGGGACTAAATAGGACAAGTGGTTTAAATCAGCGGTCCCCACCCCAACCTTTTTTGCCCCAACGACTGGTTCTAATGTCAGACAATATTTTCAGGGGCCGGCCTTTAAGGCCGGATAAATACAACAAAATGATATGATATGACTTGCATGAAAACTGGTATTTTTGTAACATAATAATAAACACAAATCACAACACGAGGAATGTCCGATCTGGCTGCAACACTCTCTCGTTGCTACGGTAATGCTTTACACGTGCCTCGGGGGTTGGGGACCGCTGGTTTAAAGCAGTCCCTCCATTGAGCAATATGGGGGAATGTCAGCTTAACCACCAGTGAATCAACAGTTGTTTGTTGACATTCAACCTGCAGTTGCTGCAGCCAACGCATGTGACATAATGCAGATGTGCTATTTTTTCAATGCAAAATCATGTTCATTCCATTTTTCCAATTTTTCCATTTGATATGGAAATGCATTTGAATGTTGTGTGAAAATCATGACACCTTAATTACAATATTTATTTGAAAGAAAAAAAAACACATTTGCAGCCTGCTGCACATATTTGATTTGGCAATGCTGCAACCTCTAATCATAAAATTAAACAGACCAAAACGAAAAGTAATGAAACATTTTTGTGTGTTCAATACTTTATCCCTGTGTCATTTCACATTGTTACACACAACTAAATTTTTTAAAAATCTTATTAGTTCTGCTTTTTTTGCGTGTATGGATGACTTTGATTGTTCCACACATCTGGTGAAAATTTCACATCAATAGCACCTTTGGAAATGTATTTAGTGTTTCAAAAAAATGGTGACTGTATGTACGTAATAACAGTTCATTAAAACAGGCCCAAACATAAAGAGAAAAAAAATCAGTTACCTCATAATATACTTTACCCATTTGTTTTATGAATACACTGAAGAGCTCTAAGGTTATAGTTTAAAAATAAATACACTTACCATGTCTAAAGGGGTTGAAATATTGTCTCCTCATTAGCAACTCTTGAGTGAAGTAAGACGAGTGTGGGCTTGTGCAACATGCATTCTTTTGTAATGATAGGATCCCAACCTAAAATGAACTTCACGACATCACGCCAAGCAGGCAATAAACACAGTTCAATGTCCACTTATAACAAAAACTTTTATTTGTTTTCTTGATATACGTAGTGCATGCTAAAGACAATGGATATAAAAAGTTTACAACCCAGTTCAAGTGCCGATTTAAAAAAAAAAAAAATTTTAATGTCCATAAAATTGAGACCAAGATGAATCTTTTCAAAACCTCTCAGGGAAAATGTGTTATGGGCCAATGAAAGCAAGGTTGAAATTTTCATCCTGCAATTCTAAAAAGACATTTCTGAAACAAATGGTTCACTGCTCATCACCAAAAAAAAAACACCACATTGCCTGGAGGCTTCTGCTAAAAAGCACAAAAAATGTCCGGAAAAACCTGCTGCTGGAACATCTGAAATGTATTTAGGGTAAATTAACTGGAACCGAAGCTGCAGTCAAGATGGAAGGAATTATGAAAAGTTAAAAATAGCAGTCAGTGTGAGAACAAAAACCTTCAGGCTTATTCGTGAAAACAAAAAAAAAAGATGTTGAAAAGCCTTTTGGATCATCTGAAATGCATTTAGGACAAATCTGGAAGCTGGAACTGAAGCCATGGTCAAGATGAAAGGAATTCCTAACAGTTTGATGTAGCACTCAGTTTTAGCATGAAACAAAGACTTCTTTGGGAAAGCAAAAAAAATAAAAGACAAAAAAGCCTACTACAACATCTGAAAATTATTTGGCGCAAATCAGCTGCAACTGCGGCAGTAGACAAGATCGAAGAAATTATGAACAGTTTGAAACAGCAGTCTGTGTTAGCATAAAACCTAAAAGCTGCTGCTTGAAGGCAACCGAAAGAGGCCAGGAAAAGCCTACTTGAACATCTGAAACTCATTTGGGGCACTTAGAAATAGTGGCATGTGTGTGCTGACTCCCATTTAACATGAGTGTGAATGCTATAAACGGGTGTGTGCACACTTGTGCAACGACACTATTTCAGTCAGTAAAAACTTAGTGGTTGCAATGGTCGAAAAAGTTTGAAAACGAGTTATCTATACAGCACTGCAAAAATATAGACTTGAAATGCTTCGGATATACAATATATTGAGCTGAAATGGTCGCCGGATACATACGTGGCCTCAAACTCGCCTCCCCTTCGCGGTCCCAAGTCACGTCAGGTCAAAGTCCAATAACAACAGTTGAATATTAATCTCGTGCAAAGCAGCCCAAGATCCAGACTCTGGATGAGAGGTCAGCTGTCTGCGCTTACATAAGCGATATTATTGCATTTGCATTGACTTTAAGGACACAATATTGCGACTAACGGCTACCAGACAAGATTATGTCAGCCGTTCATATGCATGGCCGTCAAGATTATTTTCACCGCTGGCTTGAGTTTGACTATATCGCAATGCTAAAGTATTCAAATAAAAGTGGTAACGCCACGTGGAAAGGACTCGCGTCGTATTTTACAGCACGGACGCTTTAATCCTGGGGCTGTTTTTGAGGAAGAAACTGTCGGTGACGAAGGTGGGCATGTAGGACAGAGGCAGCCAGATGAACTTGGCATCCCATCCGGGCGAGTAGCGGGTGCGAGGGTGGATGGCGGCCACGGCGTGCTCCATGCAGCCGACCACCTTCATCAGGTCGCTGTCGGTCAGCGCTTTGAATTTTTGCGATATCTCTTTAAATGCTGAAGCGGAAAGCAGACACAGAAAAAAAAAATCGCCTTAGAGTAGTCCGCCAGGAATTTAGCTTTACTGTATTAATACGGAAACTCTGAATGACATAAATGCAAGGAGCAGTGGTAACGGATTTCCAAAAGGTAGCTTGAAACAGTCCAGAGAACCGTCTTAAATTTCTACCACAATTGCACAGTTTCTGACAAGACTCAAAAAACTCACAGCATTCCAAAAAGTCTGGCCCATAGTCATCTTTGACATCCTGAGGCAATCGGTCCCAAAGTTTCATCAGGTTATTTTCCAGCGCCTCCGTGTTGGTGATGTTTGTTTTGAAGAAGCCAGGCTCGATGCACAAAACCTTGACTCCAAATGGCGCCAAGTTCAAACTGAAGTCGGGATGAAATTGAGATGAAGGCGGCACTCACAGCGGGAGGGACGAGACACTTTGCAGCTAAGTTAGCTCTTACCGCAAGCTGTCGTTGAAGGCCTCCACGCCGTATTTGGACACGCAGTACGGGCCGCCGAACGGGCTGAGCCTCCCGAATACGCTGGCCACGTTCACCACCCTGCCTCGAGCCTTCTTGATGAGAGGGAGGACGCTCAGGGTCACGTCGATCACGCCCATCAGATTGACATCCAGCATGCTCTTGAAGTCTTCAATCGTGAGCCAGTCTGTGGGGGCCGATGGCACACCGATGCCTGCGTTGTTGACCACGGCCCACAGTCCTGAAAACACAGGGACACTTGGACCTGCAGCATAAATCCAGCTATAGAAACGACTCAGTATCACAGAGTGCAAATTTATATCACTGCAATCAACCAGTATAATGGACATTGAAAACTGCCTTTATCTCCAACCGTGTCAAGCCAAAATCAGCTTTATCATCTTGATAAATGTAACAACTGACTTCCCTCTCCACGCGTACCTAATGATGTGGCCTCACGATACCTTACCTTTCTGCCCGACAAGAGCGTCAATGAGAGCAGCGGCTTGTGCAACACTGGCAGAGTCAGTGACGTCCACATGAAGAGTGGTCAGTCGGTCAGAGGAGGCCTTCTTCAGCTCATCTTCGCCCTTCTCGGTATAACAGCCGGCGATCACGCAGAAGCCCAGCTTATCCAGATGTTTGGCCAGGAGATGCCCGAAGCCGCTATCGCAGCCAGTGATATAGACATGTTTGTCTCCCTTGTTTGCCACGCGTTTCAACTCCTTGAACCACCTGTGGACAAACCACAGGGCCAGCACGGCGACGATGTACACGAACATCTCCCTACAGGGGTAAATGAGAATGGAAATAAAAGCTACACTTGTCCCAATATCTGTGCTGTCAAAGTAACCACGTGACTTGCAGTACCTTTTATGGTAGGTAAATATTTGATTGAAAGTGTGAAAGAGTACTTTGTCCTTTTTGCTGTTTAACTAAGCATCAGTTTTATTCCTACTAAGCCAGCAATGCAATTTTAAAAAAAACGCTACGGTGTACATCACAGACATCAAACCCAAGGCCTCCGTGTCATTAAATTTGGTGGAGGTTTTCCATCGTTTTCCAACGACTTATTTTCAAAAACAACCACAAACATGATAAGAACAAGATGCAGGGGGAATTAATTAACTCCATGGGTCGAGTAGAACAGCATATTAGATAAGGGACATTAAGTGTAAACGCCTCGGGCTTTAGCCGCATGTCAGCTCCGAAACAAATGCAATGCATTTCAGTTGCTAGCAAAATGGATGTTATGGCTATTATTATGATTAAAATAAATATCGATCCATTTTTTAATCGATAAACAAAATTGTCCACTTTTTCTAATTTACAAGTCATTCCATCCAAACACATCACACTGCTGTTCTATACCGTATTCGGAGAGTAACACCACCCCCGTGTGGCTAAACTACTGTATTACAACGCTGAATGTAAATGTAAGATTTACAAAATTCTACTTGCTTTACAAGAGCTTCACGGGTACTACAGTAACGCATACTATCAACAAATGCAGTTTTACCTCACTAGGAGTTCGTCCTACTAGTATGTCAAAGTTGGGTTACTTGTATGCAAAAATGGCAGTTGTGGAAAAAAAAATTACCAGTAGAGACAGTCGTTCTAACCTTAAAATTCTAAAGTTGGCTAAACTCGGATGGGTGACTGAGTGGTACACAATCTGTTTCGTTGCGGCTGCAGTACCTTGACAAGTGTTTTTCTTTTTCCGCTCTGTACACGTCTTGCTGTTTGTTTACTCCTTGGTCAGCAGGCGTGGCTGCGCGCGTTGCTTTTTTAATATTCCGGGCTGCAACGTGGACTACAGATTGCTAAGCCATCTGATATGCAATGGCGTTTTATATTCCAATTATTTTACATATATGAAGTGGACGCCGTAACTTTGTGCCCAAGAGTGTTTTCTCACAGGAGTTCTCTGTGTGCGCAGGATGCCAGGAACGGAGCGGATTCCATCACCAGATTTTGCAAGGTTGACTGCTACACAGAACTCTTTGGAACTCGCTGTATTGGTAAGATTTTAACCAGAAACATTCGACGAGACTGTGGCGTCTACACGTCACATACACACAGACACACACGATTCAGTTATGGTATTAATTTTAATTATTTTATGAATCGTTTGACTCTCATATAAATGTTTGTAACTCATAAACTTGGCGCCTGCTTAAGTGAAAAATAAATAATTAATAATAGATTGCCGTATAATTAGTTGAGTTGATATCAAGAATTATCTGAAACTAAGGAACTTGTGACTCATCCTTCAAAGAATCATTTGGACTCCAGGAAACGTAATGACACATGGCCAGCCAATTAGTCATACTTATGACATTAGGAAATAGGAAGTAAACATCGAAAGCTTGGCCATCTGTCAATAATTACTCAGAGCTCAAGTATTATCTGCACTTTGTAGTTGAGGGGGGAAAAAAACTTGTCAGACACCTGCTTCCTTTTTCCTGTTGGACTTTTGACAAGCAAGGGACTCAAATGTAATCGTGATACACCATAGAAATTTATCTGAAATTTGTTGGGATTCTGTATTTTATGACTGTGTTTTGTGATACCTTTCTGTGAAAAATACTACATATATCAAATGTCCATCCTAAACTAACAGTTGTTATTGATGCAGAATTATGGAAACAATGTACACCAAACACCTGAATAAACGTATGGAATTTGATCACTTATAGTAACGATGAAGTATTCAAACAGTAGCAACTGGTAACACCACATGAAAAGTCTACCATTGGATCTTAGAACATAGACACATTAATCTTGGGGCTGAATTTAAGGACCAAGCTGTCAGTGACAAAAGAGGGCATGTAGGACAGAGGCAGCCAGATGAACTTGGCATCCCATCCGGGCGAGTAACGGGTGCGAGGGTGGACGGCGGTCACGGCGTGCTCCATGCAGTAGATCACCTTCATCAGGTCGTCGTCTGTCAGAAGTTGACATTTGGCCACGATGGTTTGAAGCGCTGGAGCGGAGGGCACACACCAGAGCAGTCACCACTCAGTTTTAACAGTGTGACTTTTGTTTATGTTAAAGTCAGTCGCGTGTCTCTTTGTAGACTAACTTGATGAGTGAGATTGTCGGGTAGACAAAAACTTGTGGACCCTGTCCTGATGCGAAGATCTGATTAGATTGGTATGGGATTTGAATTCATTCCAACAACGCACTTGTCAGGATGACTGTCTGACTTTCAAAATGGCCGACGTTACTTTAGCCACAAAAATATTTAACTGAAATGATACCGGACCTCGCAATCAAGAAGGTCTGATTCTACGTTTAGACTGGCTTCCTTTCTTTTACCTTATCAACAGTTCCATAATATTAATCGCATACATTTTTACATTGACATAATTTTTTTCCCCCTAAATTGGTTAGTTAAAATGAACTGTATTCAATGGTGTCATCAAATAATTTGGTTGATAGATTCATTTTGTAAATAAAAAAAAATAACAAATATGATTTTTTAAAAGTAAATAAGAAAATACCAATATCTAGCAAACGGCCCCACACACACACACACACACACACACACACACACACACACACACACACACACACACACACGTGTATACATATTCATTCTCTGACAAGACTCAAAGCACTCACCACGCTCCACATAGTTTTCGCCATAGTCATCCTTCACATCCTGAGGCAATCTATCCCAGAGCCTTTTCCCATTTTCTTCAATGATCTGTGGGTCTGTGACATTTGTCCTGAAGAAGCCTGGTTCGATGCACAAAACCTTGACTCCAAATGGCGCCAAATTCAAACTGAAACAGACATTAAGCAGAGATGACGAGATTAGATGAGATGAGACACTTCAGATGCCGGGTTAGTACTCACCGCAGGCTATCGTTGAAGGCCTCCACGCCATATTTGGACACGCAGTACGGACCGCCGAAGGGGCAGATCCTACCGAATGCGCTGGCCACATTCACCACCCTGCCGCGAGCCTTCTTGATGAGAGGGAGGACACTAAGGGTCACGTCGATCATGCCCACTAGATTGACATCCAGCATCCTCTTGTAGTCCTCAACCGTTAGCCAGTCTGAGGGGGCCACTGGCACGGAGATTCCCGCATTGTTCACAACAGCCCAAAGCCCTGAAAAAAAAAAGTTTTGTTTCATTGGGAGGCTGGAACGAATCAATGTCAATTTCATTCTTTTCAATGGTGAAAGACGACTTGAAATATGAGAGATTTGCGTTGGACCCAGAACGAATTAAACGAATTAACATTTTTGCGGGGGCCAGCAATTACTACTCACAAACACACACAAATAACCGCCTGTAAAATAGACCCTGGTCTGACACTACAGTTGTTTACCTTTCTGTGTTTCGCCTCTCATTCAAGCAGGCTTAATCAGTTAATGCACAGGGCTGGTTTGATCAGCACCAGTCTGTGTGTTGGTATGGAATGGCAACTATTTGTAACACAGGTTAGCACGCCCCAAACAACAAATGATATCACTCTCTTGGGTTTCATTCACAGTTTGAAATACGCCTCCAATTTGGGAGTGTATAGTTGGGTTTCCACACCCAGGCTAATGCTGTCCTCACTTCTTCTAAGACAACCAGAACAGTGCACTTGTGATTGAGTCAATGCCCTGAGAATGAAATAACCTGAATGAATGACAATATGCACAGGTATCTTACCTTTCTGCCCGACAAGAGCATCAATGAGAGCAGTGGCTTGCGCAACACTGGCAGAGTCAGTGACGTCCAAATGAAGAGTGGTCATTCGGTCAGAGGAGGCTTTCTTCAGCTCATCTTCGCCCTTGTCGGTGTAACAACCTGCGATCACCCTGAAGCCCCGCTTATCCAAGTGCCTGGCCAGGAGATGCCCAAAGCCAGTATCACAGCCAGTGATGTAGACATGTTTATCCCCCCTGTTTGCCAGATGTTTGGACTCCTTGAACCATCTGTACACAGACCACAGGGCCAGCAGGGCCACGATGTACAGCAACATGCCGCTCTGTGTAATGAGATATTAATGGATCTGCGATAAATTATCCAATTCGACTTAACCCGTCCCAAAATTATTTATTTACCACAAGTTATCTTTGTCCAACCATGAATGCTGGTGACATCGAGTATAGAGAAGAAAGCAGAAAAAAATTACATTCCCTTCCACTCCCATTACAAGTCATTATTTCAGTATACATACATGCATACTTTTTATGACATTTTTGTTTCAAGGTGTGCCGTAAAATTTTTCTTATCTAATATTTGAAATGACATAATAAAAGTTAAACAAACAAAAAAAAAGGATCCTGTGAACACTGCAACCACCCCCCCCTTGTTTATGACATTTTTGTTTCAAGGTGTGCCGTAAAATTTTTCTTATCTAATATTTGAAATGACAATAAAAGTTAAACAAACAAAAAAAAGAAGAAAAAAGGGAGCCTGTGAACACTGCAACCACCCCCCCCCAATCAAACCAAACAAAGCACAACAATTTTGAGTAACGTTCAAGGACTATGAACAGAATAGGATATTTCAACTTAAAATGGAAAAAAAAAGAATACATTTATTAAACTAACTTGACATTGTAAACAAACTTGCAAACAATTTGGACTTTCTAACAGGAGAATCGCATGACATATGAGTCAGCGTTAAACGTTCTGCTTTAAGAGGTACTGTAATAGTCATAAATTCGCTAAGATAGATCTATTCAAGGTGAACTCATGGCCACATGTCTGGTACGTCCCGCAGAGGACAACTATATATGTGGCTCATCATTAAAATGAAACAAAAAACAAGTTCAACAAGTTGATAAACAAATCACCATAATACTATAAACGATGCTTCACTCGCTTACAAATTTAGATATTACGTGCTCAGTCAATAGACCTTAACAGCACCACGATGAGTAAAAACCGTGAGCACAATTAAAATTCAACCGAACGTAAACGTTCCCAATGGGGCTTTTGGAACTCACGTGCAAATTTCCCGTCAGAGGCTCATAAAAAGGTAGAGGCGAGCTCCACTGAATGAACGCACAGATTAAATGAGTGACATTGGGTGAGTGTAGAAAAGCAAACTTGCTAACGAGCGTTTTCTTCCCACATTTGTTAATTTACATACTGTTTTCCGGGTAAATTTGCAGATTACAATGGAAGTGGCGACCCCTACTGGAGATTTTCTGATACTGTAATGAATACAGTAAATAAATGCGCTTAACCCCGCTGCTGTTCTAGTGGTATGCGCGTCTGCCTCACAGTCGAAAGGTTCTGTGTTCAGATGGAAAATTGTGTAAATGTGATTTTTATATATATGTTGTGAGCGCAGTGGAATACAAATGAATATTACGCAGGATTGGACCAAAATGAAATAGCTGCCCTCTTGTAGAACTATATATAGAAGGCAGAATCAAAATCCATTTTTTTCGGTCAGTTTTTACAATTATCCACAGTTTAACTGAACACAATTTACAAATGAATAAAATGATGGCTTTGAGAGATCGTACAACATAAATGTAAACTTGTTTTATTGGGCTATTGTCTTTGACTAGAATTCCACTTTCTTCTCACATTATCAAGCACATCTCTGTCCTACTGTGCAGAAATGACACACCGTAGTGCAAGGCAGTAATGTAGTAGAAAAAATATTTGACTTGTTTGGTTGACCGCAAAACCTGTTTCGTTGCAGTACTACCGGTACCTTTCCGAAGCCTCCTATTCTCACTTTGTTGTATGCAGTGTGGTATTTGTTAACCTCTGGTGGTCGGGTGGGTGCTTTTAATGCTCTGGACAGCAAAGCAGATAATTACATGGTTCCATGCATATTCCAGGGTCTCCCAAACAAAGTAAAGATGCCATAAATAGGGGTTTGGAAAGCCCCAAACCCACCACAAGGGTCCCAAATTTTGAAAAACTGCTATACAAATTCACTGTCACCAAACACTAATGACAAAAGATAATATGACATCAACATTTCTAAGTACGATGACTATGGCAACACCAAAGAACAATCCCCGTTGGATTTTAGTACACAGACGCTTTAATCTTGGGAATGAATTTGAGGAAGAGGGCATCAGTGACAAAAGAGGGCATGTAGGACAGAGGCAGCCAGATGAGCTTGGCGTCCCATCCGGGCGAATAACGTGTACGAGGATAGACGGCGGCGATGGCGTGCTCCATGCAGCCGACCACCTTCATCAGGTCGCTATCCGATAGGAGTTTAAGTCGTGCATTGACGGCTTGGAGGACTACAACGGAGAGCACACACAGAGCAGCTACTATTCAATTGGAATGCTGTGAGTTTTTTTTTTTTTTTTTGGGAGGGGGGGGATAGTGTAGATAGAATAAGTAACACATAAGTAACTTTTCTGGGTACACAGTGTGATGAAAAAACATTGAATTGGCTACTTTTGAAACTCTCTGCTCAGTCTGAAGAACCACGTGAAATAACCTTCATGGAGCTGGAGCTCACGGGCTAGCTTAAACTGCTCCAGATCCTACCATGCCATTAGAAACATGATCCCATACTCTTCGTTTAGCTACTGCTCATCTCCTCCTCCATGTGGCTGTCGTCCCAATATCAAAACTAAGCACAGTTTCTAAACACCTTAAGTGACAAGGCACAAAGAACTCACTGTTGTCCAGATAGTCTGGTCCGTAGTCATCTTTTACATCCTGTGGCAATCTATCCCAGATCTCCTTTACGCTTTTGGCCCAGATCTGCGGGTCGGTGACGTTTGTTTTGAAGCAGCCAGGCTCGATGCACAGCACTTTGACTCCAAATGGTGCCAAGTTCACACTAAAGTTCAACGACATGATGACAATCATATCTCTGCAAGAGGAACAACATGCTAGCTGTTGAATTAGCTCTCACCGCAGGCAATTAGTGAAGGCCTCCACGCCGTATTTGGACACACTGTACGGACCGCCGAACAGGCTGATCCTTCCGAACACACTGGACACATTCACCACCCTGCCTCGAGCCTTCTTGATGAGAGGGAGGACACTCAGGGTCACGTCAATTACTCCCACCAGATTGATGGCCAGCAAGCCCTTGTAGTCCTCAACGGTGAGCCAGTCTGTGGGGGCTCCTGGCACAGAGATGCCCGCATTGTTCACAACGGCCCACAGTCCTGAAAACGTGGAGAGCAGGACATATTCATCTTCGAGTCGTTCTCATGTACGCCTAACTAGTCTAGTTAGACAGAGAGCCAGACACACCTAAAATAATAATGAATTGATTTTTGATACACTTCTTCCCTCACTCTGCGGGTGTACCTCACGGTGTGGCCTGCAGTACTTTATAGTCACCTTACCTTTCTCCCCTACAAGAGTTTTGATGAGAGCCGCGGCTTGTCCAACGCTAACAGAGTCACTGACATCCAAATGAAGAGTCGTCAATCTATCAGAGGAGGCCTTCTTCAGCTCATTTTCGCCTATCTCGGTGTAACAGCCAGCGATCACACGGAAGCCCAGCTCATCCAGATGCTTGGCCAGTAGATGCCCAAAACCAGTATCGCAGCCGGTGATATAGACATGTTTATCTCCCTTGTTTGACACACGTTTGGATTCCTTGAACCACCTGTGGGCAAACCACAGAAGCAGCAGACCCAGGATATACAGGAACATCTCCCTGGAAGAGCAAATAGTAAAAACTGCAGAGTTTAATTCTGCACACCACAAAATTCTATCGGCTCTATTACAGCACCATGTGGGCATTCGGGGTGGTGCTCTGGATTGGTTTAAATTCTGCATAGCAGACAGAACTACTTGCATGTGTGTGAGCCTTAGAAGTTTTGAAACCTGCTCAACTCCACTGTCTCATCACATGGGGTTCCACACAGTTCAATTCTCGGGCCTCTGTTCCTCACTTTGTATTTGCTACGTCTGAGCTCCAACTTGAAAAAGCATGGGATTTCCTTCCTTCCATTGCTAGGCTGAGGATAGTCAGAATGACGTATCACTCAAGTAGGAAGAATTTTTTTTTCTTACTTTCTCAGGCGAGTGATTAAAAAAAAAAATAATAATAATACTGGCAACCTGTTCAGGGTGTCCTCCGCCTACTGTCCGAAAAGAGCTGGGATAGGCTCAAGCACACCCCACGAGCCTTTTGAGGACAAGCAGATCGGAAAATGGATGGATGGATCATAATAATAATTCAGTTCCTGATTAACAGGGTTGTATGGCATCTAACAGTTGAAGCTGTGACGGTTGCATCCTTCATTTCCCAAAAATGTGTGACATTTTTGTTTGGCGCAGTGACATAACGAACATAATACGTGGCAAAAATAAAACAGGTTTGACAAGTTGCTCATCAACAGTACATTATGAATGCTTCACTCTTATACGAATGCAGACGTTTCCTAGGCTACTGACAGTTTGCCTCACGTGCACCGTAATTAACATAAACGCAATTAACATTCAACAACATCGAGGCTAAATGCACCAAGTAAGGTTTTTTTTAATTTTTTTTACTTACTTTCCTCGTAAATTTACTGCCAGCCAAACAAAATAGTTGAGAGTCTCTTCTTTGAGCACCAATATTTAATGGGCGCGGTTGATAAAGTTTGCCCCTTTCTTTCCACGCCCACTTTTGTAACCATCAATTTTTCCGGGTAAGTCTCCACAAGAAGTGAAAGCGGCGCCACCTGCTGGGATTGTTCGGTTCTGACACTGTAACAGTAAAGCGTGAACAGGAAATGGATTCTCGTACCGGATTGCACCTCTGCACGTCTGCGTCAGTTCGAAAGGTTCTATATTCGAATAAAAAATTCAATACTATTTAAATACTATATTTCAATTCTCTCTCTCTCTCTCTCTCTCTCTCTCTCTCTCTCTCTCTCTCTCTCTCTCTCTCTCTCTCTCTCTCTCACACACACACACACACACACACACACACATACGCACATAGGCCCACTTTTTTTTTTTAAACACTAATTAAAAATGATTATAATTATGACCTTATTAAGAGTCCATACCACATGCATGGAGACTTCCAGCTCTGTGAAGGAGATCCTGAGAGTTTGTTTTTATTGCGGTGTTGTCTTGGACTGGTGTCCCACCTTCTTCTGACATTATCAATCACCTGTGTTGAGAATGCGGTATCAGACCATCTGTTGCGAGAGCAAATTCCAAATCCAAACAAATGTCCATGCGTGCATTTACCTTTTATTCATCTTTTTTTCATTAAAAAGTAAACGTTAATAAATTTGAAAAATAATAGTCTAAAAATAATATATATGTAAACTAAAACAAGGAGATGTGAAAAAAAAGTGAGAAATAATCAAAACGAGGAAAAAATATGATATTATATTGCGTGACAAGGGATTTACATTGTGAGATGTGCTGAATTAAATCTGGTACTCTCATGAAACTTGGCGGTGTGCGATTCAGTGGGCCAAAGAATGAAATCATTTTAATCATTAATAGTCAAATGTCCTTTTACATAGTTGATGATCTGCATTCCAGTGACTGCACTTCCAGGTGACCACAACTAATGTCCTTAAGGTCATTACACTCATTTTACAATCACTTCTGATAACATCTTGGGCATGTTCATAAATACAATTTTTTTTTTTTTCCAAACATGACAACAAATCTTCCCATTTTAAAAGCCCAATAAGTTGTTTGTATGAAAATGTTGGGCTTCCTAGCTTGAAATCCCTAATTTTATGATTTGGATATTGATTTTGTCTGAAGAATTCAGACTGTAACTGGCCATAATGCTGACACAAACCTTATCAGTGTAATGGGGCTATAGATAATAGTTGTAGGGGAGGAGCATAGGTTGCCTTATTAACTCCTGCCGTGTTATTGCTGAAGAAACCGCACATTGACTGAGAGCTGTCCTGTTCAGGTACAGTATTTTTTTCCCCCCTATCTAAAGCAGCATTCCTAGAAAGCATTATTTGTGTTTACAGGTGACCATTCATGTGTCTACGTTGATAAAATAGATTGATTTGAATCATTTTGGTAATATCGATGATGAATTGGCATGTCTGCCTCACAATCAAATGTTCTAGGTTTTCAGCTCAGAACTTGCACGTACTCACTGTGCCCACGTGGCCGTGTACTCAGCAAACCCCACAGGATTAAAAAAAAAAAAATCGTTTGTGTAATTGTTTGAAGACTCTGATTTGCCATTAGGAGTGAATATGAGTCTGAATGATTGCTTGTCTCTAATGGACCCTGAGATTGAGAGTACGCTGCCTCTTGCTCAAAGTCATCTGGGATGGGCTCCAGTTCACCGTGACCCTGACGAGCAGAAAAGCGAGTCATGGATGAAGGGATGGCAAAAGAACACTGAGAATACAAGCGCATAACTCATCTACTTGATAGAAAAGGGATCAAGTCAATATTGTCAATTATTAACCGGATAGGAAGAATGTGTTTTGATCAGTATGTCTAGAATGAGGAAAATGTGTTCTTCAAAATTTGCTGTTTTCAAGATGTGTTGAACTTTGTGAAACGCAACGATTAGAAGCCGTTCATTTCACTTTTACATATTTACCCTTTCAGGGACAGCAGTTACTACAGTGGACAGCTTATCGTGTTATCAGGTTACAGGGTGCGTGAAAGGGTTAAGTCTTGTGTTGGTAGTGCGACTACTTTATTTTTTTCCCAGGACAGACAAGATGAAGAAAACTATGAAGTTTACACCACCGCGTGGGACAGACGTAGGTGAGTGAGCTTACAATAAATTCAACCCCTCCAAAAATGTGCACATGGGTCAATATTGCTGTCACGTGCCTCTGGTGTCTTCAGTGGAATCCGTCATCAGGAAAATGTATCAGAAAAATGAAACGCTGAGGTCTTATAGGAAGTGGCCCAACTTTTGCACACATCCCAGTACAACTATAATGCACTTAAAATGCGATTTCATTTAATACAATTTTTTCATTTCATCAATAGTACATGCTTGAACAACAGCAAGTACAATAAAAGTTAAATTCTACTTAAAAAAAAAAAAGTCTTGGTTTATGGTCTGCTGTCCACCCTATCATTATGGAGTATTTGCGACCTTAAGAAAAACTGATGTTTTGTTATGGGCAGCATTTTGTCTGTCTCCAGTTGAGGCTGAAACATTGGATAGTTGCAGAACAAATACTTACACTTATTTTCTAGGAATTGTCATTTGATGATGCGCAAAGTTTGACATTGTCAAGCTTAACATGTCCACTCTGTCATTGTCAAATGTCAGTTGATTGAAAAACCTTTCAGAAATGTCACTCACATTTATTTGTTCAACAGTACAAAGTCAACTTGCTGATAGTTGCAGCCAAATATGTCCAATCTGTCATTGTCCACCCTGTCAGGAAGTTCACACATTTCCATATACGGGACATTGTCTCCTTACTGTTTTTCATCTATAACCGCTTCAAACAACAAGGCGTACACAGGAATAGCTGTTACATTTGTCTTATTGTCGATGTTTTAATGTTATCTGTTCTTTTGCAGCAAATCAAAAGAATGGGTAAGTTTCGCGCCATAACACTCAATTACTATCGAAGGCAACAATGTTAATGGAATGGAATGTTTACAGGTATGAAAAGAAACAGAAGAAAGAACAGAATACGCTCAGTGTTGGATACTTTCAACTGGTAAAAAAAAACCCCAAACACATCTTATAAAAAAATTAATGTATGCTACATACATTGGATCAATTTTTTAGAGAGATTTTATTTACTCCTGTCCAGTTCCGATTTGCCACCTGGAAGGAGGTTGTTATGATGGTAGTGGGCAGCCTGTTCGCACTCATACATGGCGCCGCCGCCCCTCTCATGCTTCTGGTGTACGGCATGATGACCAACACGTTTGTACTTTATGAGTTGGAGATGCAAGAACTGAAAGACCCAAATAAAACGTGCCAGCACAACACCATCCACTGGACAAACGGCTCAGTTTACGAGCCTGCTGAAAACGTGACCGTCGTCTGTGGGTGAGTCCCCTTTTCAATTCGGTGGCGATGGTGAATTATCACGATTAATGTCCGGTCTCTCGGGTACAGCGGTTAAGTTCAATGAATCGGTTTTGGGAATTTTTCAAGCGAGAGACATCATTCGGACGAGTTTTTGCTATGGCTTGCTAACAAAAAAATTATCTTTGTTATTGTTTGGTGACAGTGAACCCAACTCGGCTCACTTGTCGATGCTAAACAGTTTCTTGTGACTGTTGTCGTTTAATTCCCTTGACAGGGTAGACATCGAAGCCCAGATGACTGTGTTTGCGTACTACTATATTGGAATTGGAGTTGGCGTTCTGTTTCTTAGTTATTTTGAGGTACGTTTTCGATACTTCCTTGAGTTCCCACTTAGAGCAGAACGATAGTACGATATAATATCGTGGTACATTTAAGTGGTAAAATATGCCGCATTTTTCCCTTCAGATTGTCCTCTGGGTATCCGCCGCTGCAAGACAGACTCAGAGAATCCGAAAGACTTATTTCCGTAAAGTCATGCAAATGGAGATTGGGTGGTTTGACTGCAACTCTGTTGGTGAACTGAACACGAGATTATCAGAGTGAGCCCTCGGCCCACATATCCAGCCCAAGTCAGTTTGTGGTTTACGTAGTAAATTGTTCTACTCCTTCTCAGTGACATCAACAAGCTCAATAACGCCATCGCTGACCAGGCGTCTTTCTTCATCGAGAGGATCTCCACCTTCGTGTTCGGGTTCATGGTGGGCTTCATCGGCGGCTGGAAGCTGACGTTGGTTGTCATCGCTGTGAGCCCCTTGATCGGTGTTGCTGCTGGACTGATGGCAATGGTACAGTTCTGGCTAAGATTCAGATACAAAGATACCAGATTGTTTGGATGGTTTTCAACATGGGAACATTTCGGGTAGGATTGAAAAAAAAAAAAAGTTTTCAAGCGATGGAATTGGAAGTCAGCCCTTTCGATCAGTCAGAAACTACTGAATACACAATATGTCTCAATCGTTTTTCTTAAGCGCAATTTGGCTCAGGTTTGTTCAATCCCATTTTATAGGCTGTGGCGAGGCTAACAGGACGAGAGCTGAAGGCGTACGCAAAGGCGGGAGCCGTGGCTGATGAGGTTCTGTCATCCATTCGAACGGTGGCAGCGTTCGGCGGGGAGGACAAGGAGGTTAATAGGTAGTCTTTAAAACATTTTTTTTCCCAAAACCGTCTTCTAAATGGAGCGCATGTGAGACTGACATTTAAAAATAATCCAGGTATGACCGAAACCTTGTGGAAGCTCAGAACTGGGGAGTAAAAAAGGGTTCGATTATCGGAATCTTCCAAGGATATCTGTGGTGCATCATTTTCCTTACTTTCGCTCTGGCCTTTTGGTACGGATCCCAGCTGGTCATAGACACCAAGGAGCTATCTCCCGGGACTCTTATTCAGGTACGTGAAAGGAACTTTGCCTTCCGTTTCTTAGCAATTGTGCGGCTGTGACGCCGTGTGACTACCATCCTTTTTTTTTTTTTTCCAGGTGTTTTTTGGAGTCCTGATAGCAGCAATAAACTTGGGTCAGGCCTCACCTTGTCTGGAGGCTTTTGCCTCAGGCCGTGCAGCTGCAAAGACCATCTTTGAAACTATTGACAGGGTACAACTAGCTTTTATCCATCCTCGAGTTGAAAAAGGACGACTATTACGCACCATGAAAGTGTTTTAGTCAGCATTTATCGCTGTCATTTAACATTTGATGTCATTCAGTTTTCATGCTTTTGTATTGACAGGAATCAGAAATCAATTGTTTGTCGGACGATGGTTATAAATTAGACAGAGTGAAAGGGGACATTGAGTTCCATAACGTCACGTTCCACTACCCATCCAGACCTGAAGTCAGGGTAACTGTTGTTTTAATCACTCAGATGCAAACGGGATTCACTTGTATGATAACTAAATCCTTTTTTTTTCTTAGATTTTAAATGACCTAAGCGTGCAGGTGAAAGCAGACCAAACCACCGCTTTTGTTGGACCGAGCGGATCGGGGAAGAGCACAGCCGTCCAGCTCATCCAAAGGTTTTATGACCCAAATGAAGGAACGGTGAGGAAAATATCCTCAGCTACGTTGGACTGAAGCGGAATATTTTGAGACCCAGAATTGTATTTTTAGGTGACTTTGGATGGCCATGATATCCGAAGTTTAAACATCAAGTGGCTCCGCTCACTTATTGGCATCGTAGAGCAGGAACCGGTGCTGTTTGCCACAACAATTGCAGAGAACATTCGCTTTGGAAAACCTGGAGTGACTATGGAGGAAATAATCCAGGCAGCCAAAGAGGCCAATGCCTATCATTTTATCATGGATCTTCCACAGGTGTGTTTCGTTACTTTGAAGCCCTTTTCCCGCGACATAGTAGTTTGTGGTATTGTTACGGTAGCATTAATGTTGTGTGATTTGTAGTAGCTAGCGGGTCAGTTGTTGTTCCAAGCTGGCTGTTGTGTACAGTGGGTGATGTAAACCAGCGGTCCCCAACCTTTTTTGCCCCACAAACCGGTTTAATGTTCGACAATATTTTCAGGAACCGGCCTAAATACAACAAAATAATATGATATGAACCACATGAAAATTTTCTGAACACAATAATAAACACGTATCCCCAAAGAAACTTTTCGAAGACGTTTGTTTTTTTTACTCATTTTGCTAGCTCCCAGGTTTCATTTTAGCGGTAACCTGTCACGTGATCGGGAAGCGCGCCTTGACCTGCGTCAAGAGTGATATACTGTAGACGGATATAACAGAGAATCCGGTATTTTTTCAAAATAAAACATCTTGCAGATTCCGAAATGAATAAAACATAAGTAATGTAAGTTATTCATTCTTTCTGTGTGGCCCGGTACCAAACGACTCACGGACCAGTATCGGTCCGCGGCCCGGAGGTTGGGGGCCACTGATGTAAACCATTGCTGGTTGAGCAGCTATGAATAGCACACATGCTAATGTTCAGCTTAAAATGTCTGGTTGCTGCTTTGTTATACTCTACAATCTTAACTTTGCATCAGCGATCGGTTTTCTTGATGCCGTTAGGATTTTTTTTTTTCCCCAAATAAAATGTTATGGTGAGCCCCAGAACTACATTTAGACCCTGCAACAAAATTTTGACTCCATAGACTATATCCCCTTTTTCCAACAGTGTACTCCATTGCATCTGTACATGCAATGAAACAAAAAAAATGAAAGCTATGCCATCACTTATTTTTCTAGACATTTGATACTTTGGTGGGTGAGGGTGGAGGTCAGATGAGTGGAGGGCAGAAGCAGAGGATCGCCATCGCTCGAGCTCTGATCCGGAATCCCAAGATCCTGCTGTTGGATATGGCGACGTCAGCCCTGGACAACGAGAGCGAAGCCGTTGTCCAGAAGGCACTGGACAAGGTATGCCACCGTCGAGACACTCGCTCACGTTACCCAGCTCATCGAACACGCCGTTTGCTATGAAATCACACTCTTGATGGCAGGTGCGCATAGGCAGGACCACCATTTCCGTAGCCCACCGTCTTTCCACTCTCAGGAATGCCGACGTCATCGTTGGATTTGAACGTGGGCGGGCTGTGGAAAAAGGAACCCATAGCCAGCTCATGGAAAAGGAAGGCGTCTACTTCACCCTGGTCACCCTGCAGAACCACGTTCGATCAAACACAGCTAATGGTGGGTTCAGAGAATCCTTAATGATCCTTAAATATTCAAATTTCTCAAAAGTGTCATAACGAGTGTTTAACAGGTTGAGGTCGCATTACTGGGTCGACATAAGACATTCAACGTAAACTGAAGACGATCTGACTGATGACTTTTCTTTTGCCAGGCGTTGCCAGCGGAGCTGCTGCCGAGGAAAACCCTGAAACAAGAGCGAGGACGTTTAGCCGAACCAGCTGCCGCTCGAGTAAAAGGTAACGAAGACAATGTCAGGAGATGAACTGCTCCAAAAATGGATTGATTTCATCCAATAGGAGCTCAGTTCGCCTGCGATCGCACAGCAACTTGTCCAGCGATTTTTCGCCCGATGCCGTATCAAACAGCCTGCGGATCCTTTCCAGCCAGAACATCATCCCGGACGTTGTATGCTTTCGTGAAAACTCTCGCTGCTATCTGTCACTTGTCATTAGAATAATGCAATGTCACTCATGAACAGCCAGAGTACGAGGAAGAGGAAGACGAACATCTCGAACCTGCCCCGATCTCACGGATCCTCAAGTACAACAGGTCGGAATGGCCCTACATGCTGCTGGGCTCTCTGGGAGCTGCGCTCAATGGCTCGGTTAACCCCATCTATGCTGTGCTCTTCAGTCAAATTCTCGGGGTACGGGTAGCTCGCATCATCTTATTTGTTTTTCGCTTCAGAAAGGTAAAATCTCGACTTATTGTTTTTCTTTGTTTTTTTTTTGTGAGCGCAGACGTTTGCCTTAGCGGACATAAATGAGCAGAGGGAGCAGATCAACGGGATATGCGTTCTGTTTTGTATTGTGGCCGTGACAAGTGTCTTCTCGCAGTATTTACAGGTTTGCACAAACATTAAAAGCTAATCGATCGATTTGTAAACTTGAACCATAAAGGTGCATTCATCAACATGTTTCAGGGATACGCCTTCGCAAAGTCTGGAGAGTTGCTTACACGCCGTCTAAGGAAATTAGGCTTCCAGGCCATGCTGAGACAAGACATCGGCTGGTTTGATGACCTCAAAAATAGCCCCGGAGCGCTGACCACCAGACTGGCCACGGATGCCTCCATGGTCCAGGGTGTAAGTTTATTTCCGAGCTTAGATTGGCAGTATTTTGCAAAAGTTTTGGCTATTGCTAGCTTTTTTTCTGTTCGTTTCAAAACACTATTTTGACCAAGTGTAACAGGAAGCAAAAATGATCGACTTCCATGAACTGTTGGTAAAATGTGGGATCATTAAAATGCTCACCCTCCAGAATCCTAATAGCAGGGAATACTGCTTAACCCATTCAATGCCATTGACGGGTATAGACATCAAAGACCCGTCTTAACTGGACTGGTAGTGAATGAATGAATTAACGTGATAAAAATAAGATAGTCGGAATAGGCCTTCTGAAAAATATTTTCCAGTGTGAGTGATGTTAATTTGAATTGAGCGACAGAGATGAATGTACGTTTGTCTGATGTTTTTATTTTGTAAGAATGATGATTTATGTGATCATTTTAGTCACTCCCCACTACCACCACAAAAACTCCAGTGAAGACTTTTGCACAGTAGCTTCATGGTTTGTTTTGTATTTCTCAGGCTACTGGATCTCAGATCGGCATGATCGTCAATTCCCTGACCAACATTGGAGCCTCTTTCATCATCTCCTTCTACTTTAGTTGGAAGTTAACCTTGGTCATTATGTGCTTCTTGCCGCTCATTGGCCTGTCCGGACTCTTGCAAGCCAAGATGTTGACAGGTTTTGCAAATGATGACAAAAAAGCAATGGAGGACGCCGGCCAGGTCAGTGCTCCCACCTCCCGATATAAAATCCCAACATGATTCCCGCATATTTTCCCCTAAAGTTGACCTTTGTTTGCAGGTTTCCAGTGAAGCTATGGCCAACATCAGAACCATCGCAGGTTTAACCAAAGAGAGCTCGTTTGTGGAATCCTATGAGCAAAAACTCGAGTGTCCATATCAATCTGCCAAGAGGCGAGCCAACATCTACGGGCTCTTTTTCGGCTTATCCCAGTGCGTCATCTTTATGGCGTACGCCGCTTCATTCCGATACGGGGGCTATCTTGTCAACGCGGAGGGACTGCAATATGTGATCGTTTTCAGGTGGGTGAAATCATTTCTACTTTTGGAAAGCCGTTGTATTGCATTCCTTGTCGCGTTATCGCCAATGAATTGAGCTCCGCTACGTTTTCTCTCCAGGGTGATATCGGCAGTCGTAATCAGCGGGACCGCATTGGGCAGAGCTTCTTCTTTCACTCCAGATTATGCCAAAGCCAAGACGGCTGCTGCTCATTTCTTCAAACTTTTGGATCGAGTACCGAAAATCAGCATAAGTAGCACCGACGGGGAGAAATGGGTATGGAGATAAAACGGGAGAAATGCCGTCAAAGTGTTTGCCAAACAAAAACTGAAGTGGTGCCCTCTTCCTGCAAAAATTAGTGCATCAGATATTGACCGTAAGAGTTACACAGATGAAACCTTTATTAAGCTCTGTCGTTTTTTGGACGGAATTTTTTTCTTGAAGAATTTTGGCATCGAGTTGTCATGGATCTGTTTGTGACCAACAGGTGTGCAGCTGCAGGCGGAGCCCTACAGTGCCACCTGTTGGTCACAAACAGATCCATGGCACGAGTGCTTTTTTGGGGGGGCTTGGGCACCCTCCCCAAATTTCTCGGCGCACCTGCCTCCTTTTGTGATCTGTCTGACTCTTGTCATCCCCAGGAGAACTTCAAGGGTGAAATAGAGTTTCGGAATTGTGAGTTCACCTATCCAACACGCCCGGATGTGCGTGTGTTGAAAGGCCTGATGGTAACCGTGAAGCCGGGACAGACGCTTGCGTTTGTGGGGAGCAGCGGCTGCGGCAAAAGCACCAGCGTCCAACTGTTGGAAAGGTTCTACGACCCGGATGAAGGGAAAGTGGTGTGTACACTTTTGGGAACGCTCGTCTTAATCTCCAAATCAGACAACACTTCCTGGGGATGTCCCGTTTTTTATTGCAGTTGATCGATGGCCGGCCGTCGCAGTCGGTGAATGTGCCCTTCCTGAGATCTCAGATCGGCATCGTGTCCCAGGAGCCCGTCTTGTTTGACTGCAGCATCGCTGAAAATATTCAATACGGGGACAACACGCGCCGCGTCGGCATGGAGGAAATCATGGCGGCTGCCAAAAAAGCCTACCTTCACGACTTTGTGATGACGCTGCCAAATGTGAGAGCAAACTTGTCACTTTGATATATCAAGTGTAAAATGAAAAAAGGGAAAGCGGTTGGTCTGAAGGCGAGTGCCCTTTATTGGCCAGCCACCACTTCCCCTCAATGCACCACCAAATGCAGCATTCAAAGTCTGTGTTGCTGTGACACACGCTGTAAGATTCAGCATCGCTAACTACGCAGCGTTTGTCTTTCTCTCAATCTTTGGATCGCACTGGGAAAATGGTCAGAAATACGAAACCCAAGTCGGCGCGCAAGGCTCGCAGCTTTCAAGAGGACAAAAACAACGCATCGCCATTGCCAGGGCCATCGTCAGGAACCCCAAGATCCTGCTTCTAGATGAAGCCACCTCTGCTTTGGACACTGAGAGCGAGAAGGTAGTCCATTTCCTACAAACAAAAAGATAATTTCCTCCATATGATCCTTACATGAAGCCAAGATGACATTATGGATTGCTTCCCCCCCCGCAGACCGTCCAGTCAGCTCTGGATGATGCGAGAAAAGGCCGAACCAGCATCGTCATCGCTCACCGGCTCTCCACCATCCAGAATGCTGACATCATCGCAGTGATGTCACACGGCGTTGTCATTGAGCAAGGCACTCACGATGAACTCATGGCCAAGACCGGCGCCTACTACAAACTAGTCACCACTGGAGCTCCCATCAGCTAGAACGAGAACGCTCCCAGTACGGTGGATATCAAAAGTCTACACCCCCCTTTTGTAATTCCAGGATTCTGCGATTTGATAAACTGGCAGCAAGACAAGTGGAATTACGACTAACCTGTACAATGAGCAAGAAAAATAAACAACAGGTTTGGACACTGAGAGCGAGAAGGTAGTCCATTTCCTGCAAACAAAAAGATAATTTCCTCCAAATGATCCTTACATGAAGCCAAGATGACATTATGGGTTGCTCCCCCCCCCCGCAGACCGTCCAGTCAGCTCTGGATGATGCGAGAAAAGGCCGAACCAGCATCGTCATCGCTCACCGGCTCTCCACCATCCAGAATGCTGACATCATCGCAGTGATGTCACACGGCGTTGTCATTGAGCAAGGCACTCACGATGAACTCATGGCCAAGACCGGCGCCTACTACAAACTAGTCACCACTGGAGCTCCCATCAGCTAGAACGAGAACGCTCCCAGTACGGTGGATATCAAAAGTCTACACCCCCCTTTTGTAATTCCAGGATTCTGCGATTTGATAAACTGGCAGCAAGACAAGTGGAATTACGACTAACCTGTACAATGAGCAAGAAAAATAAACAACAGGGATAATGTGGTTGCACAAGTGTACACACCCCCTCGTTTGGGAGATGTCCAACACATTTTGACTCAGAGAGTCTTCACCGAGGGGTAATATGAGCCGTAACCATTAACCCTAGTTTGGAATCCGGGAACTGTTTACTTGGGTTTTCCTCGCCACATCTTCCCGCTTCCTCCCACAGTCCAAAAACATGCACTACATGTTGAGGTTAATTGGCAAAATGCATGTCAGTGTCTGCTTGGCCCTTTTTCAAGGTGGATATCAAAAGTCTACACCCCCCTTTTGTAATGCCAGGATTCTGTGATTTGAAAAACTGGCAGCAAGACAAGTGGGATTAAAACTAACCTGTACAATTCATTAAAAAAAAACTTTTCTTTTTTCAAGTGAGGAAGAAAAATAAACAACAGAGATAATGTGGTTGCACAAGTGTACACACCCCCTCGTTTGGGAGATGTCCAACACATTTTGACTCAGAGAGTCTTCATCGGGGGGTAATCATGAGCCGTAACCATTAACCCTGGTTTGGAATCCGGGAACTGTTTACTTGGGTTTTCCTCGCCACGTCTTCCCGCTTCCTCCCACAGTCCAAAAAAATGCACCACATGTTGAGGTTAATTGGCAAAAATCCATGTAAATGTCTGCTTGGCCCTTTTTCAGCTCAAGATAGGTTTGAAGCAGGCCTGAAATGTTCTGGAAACAAAATGGATTAACGCACCTCTTAGAAATGTGTTCCCTGGTGATAATGGAGGACCGGGTAGCGTTGAGAGCAGATGTGATCATTACATACCAAACGCATGATGAGCCCATGGCATGACCGGATGGACTACCTGCGCCGACAAGAGGTTGCCAACTGGAAGTGGCTCCGTATTACATCACCCGACACGTCATTAGGTTCACCTACACAAACTAAAACAAGACCTGGATGAGATATTCAAACGTTTTGAATGACAGTTGCGGAAAGGTATTCATTTAAAAACAGGTTAGATGGTGTTTTTAAAAAAAAATCTTTGTCAAGGCAAGAAATCGAGTTATTTGGCTTTTATTCAAATGTACCTAATGTTGTGGCGAGCCGCCAGCATTCTTGAAACTTACCTGGGCCTGTTTCACACGTTATGTGAAATTGTTGCAAATGAGGGACGGAATCATTGCGGAAAAGGTTACTTTCATGCATCCACCAATAAGGTCGTTGGCCAAAGTGAATCCTGAAATCACAAGAACTGTATCACAGTCTATTACTCAAATGAATTAAGGCTGAACAATTCATCGAATTAAAATCAATATAAAATGCGAATTAAAAAAAAATAACTCGGTTGGTCTGGAGGGTTTATTTTTTTAAGTATGCGTACATGTTATGTATTTGCTTGAAATTCAGTGCTGAAGAAGTGAAGTCCATATTCTTAAATATCATTTTTTAAAGGAACAGATTTGTTTGCAGTACTGCGGTCAACGTGTTTAGTCAGTCAATAGCAAGTAATGAAGAGAAATAAACTGCCTTTCATGTTCGTTCATGGCTCATTTGCCTTTATTGAACATTTAGTGAAGATTACATGTTACAGTTTGGCGTTCCGATAAATTAATTATTAAATTTAAGTTCTTATGATGCTACATCTTTTTTTTTTTAATTGTAAATGTAAATGAGCAGATACGAAAACAAGCCCAAGCATTCATGTTTTCAAATCAACAGATGGCGGTAATGCTTTATTATAGGTTACAAACCACCGTCGAAAAACGAACTAGAAGAAGGTCCCGCCTCTGTACTTCCGGTTACAGTTTCTGTCTGCAAACAGACAAAACAAACCGCGAAAATTTGAAAATAAAGAACGAACGGAACGTGCGAGTTCAAGCGTTTTAACAAAACATTTCATCACGTAAGTACTACATGAACGTCTATAATACTCGGTTTTGGGTGAGTTGAAGAGGTCAGTAAGCATTTGTTGAAGCTTAAACTGTGCCACCTCGAACGAGGAAGGCTTAACGGTTGTTGTTCCGCGTTAGCATTAGCTGGCAAGCTAATGGTACGGATGCTGACGTATTTGCGTTCAATATACTATACCTCAATTATTTCCGTTTACTTATTGGATCCCTTGTACTTCCTACCCCACTCGCAGGCTCTCTTGTTAAACATGGTATCAATCACGGATGTCAGCAGCACTGCTGTGTTTGCCAAGGAACGGACAGAAGCGCAAAACAGAGCGCTGAAAGCAATCGCTGAGCTCAAAGACATTTACGCCGAGTTGAGCCACTCTCATCGGCAGTTTCTCAAATTGTCTCGAGGTATGGTGGGTGACTGTCCAGCGGCAAACGCGAGGCTTCTAGTCGTGCTTGTTAAACTGATGCCAATGCTCAGTGATGACTGTTCTCCGTTTATTTTGCACAGATGAATGTATGAAGAAATTCGCGGATGATGAGATCCTGTTTGAGACCATCGAGGCGCTTAAAAAAGGTGAGTTTCTTTCTGTCTTTGGACAAATGCTCTCAAAGACATTTACGCCGAGTTGAGCCACTCTCATCGGCAGTTTCTCAAATTGTCTCGAGGTATGGTGGGTGACTATCCAGCGACAAACGCGAGGCTTCTAGTCATGCTTGTTAAACTGATGCCAATGCTCATTGATGACTGTTCTACGTTTATTTTGCACAGATGAATGTATGAAGAAATTCGCGGATGATGAGATCCTGTTTGAAACCATCGAGGCGCTGAAAAAAGGTGAGTTTCTTTCTGTCTCTGGACAAATGCCAGCACAAGTCGATAAGAGATAATAAACGAGCTCGTCTGTATTTGTATTGATAATAATCAGCGGTGCACATAACATTTTGGTTTGGTTCTCAAGGGAACAGCAGAGGTTGTTGCTTGGTGCTCATTTTTTTTCTCTGACCCCCCCAACCTCACTGGATGAAAAAAAAAAAAGATTAAAGCAGGGGTGCTGTGCTCCTGGCCAGCCAAGATTATTTTCGCAGTTTTGTGCATTGCAATACGATTTCATCCCCACATGCATGAAAGAGGAGCGTAACAATTTTTGGCAAAGTGTGACTGAACATCAAATCTGAGAGTGCAATGCCTAACAAATAAATGGTGAGTCACAATTAAATGGAGCAAAAATTAGCATCATCATACGATGGTGTTGAGTGGACGAAGTTAAGAAATGTTCCACATATCCCTGGAAATTGAGCACACGTGGAAAGTGCCTGTAACGAAATATGGCCAAATCGGAACATGTTTAATTTTTTTCTTGTATTACTATTGATTGTAAACTACTCCAGGTGATGTATGTTACACAGTTGCTGTTATATCATAATTGGTTTCTATTATTGTGACATGACAGTGGTGGTAATCAAAGAGGGATTACATTGCTTAAATCGCCATAAACATTGTGAAAACCAAGCATTATTTCATATTGTGATAGCAGACCCATATCGATAGATTGAGCAGGTTAAAGCTAATGTCGAGTAAAATTGTGACACATATTTTTCCTTTTATTGCATTTCAATCAATGTTTGCCCTGGTGCTCAGATCAGCAGCATAAGAAGGAGTCATCGCAGGAGAAACAGCGCATTATTGCAGAAATTACATCTGAGATTGAGCAGAAGGAAATGGAGAAAAAAAGTCTGATCAGGGAGTTTGAGAAACTTCAAGAAGAAAAGAACAAGACAAAGGAGCGTAAGTATAATATAGGCATCAGCTGCCATCAGTTGATGTTGATGATGTTTTTTTTAACCACTGGCATGACCACCTGTTTTATTTTCTTTCCTTCTTCAGGACTTGAGTCCCAGTATAAGGCAAACAAGGACAGACTGAAGAACCTCCAAAAAGCCAGATTAATTTTTGAGGATAATTTGGGGATGGAAATACGAAAAATTGAAGGCAAGGCAGATTTGTTACTGTTATTTCACACGCTATCATTCTTGGGTTTCCTTTTTAAGTATCAACATTCTGTTGTTTTATTTCTCTTTTACTCCTGATCTTTGCATAACTGACCCCTGTTATGCTTTTGCGAAGATGACAAGTTGCAGTTTGTGTTCCGAAGTATCGACCCAGACGATCGGAACAGTCCATACATCATCACGATGGAACTCACAAAAGACGGATCATATCAAAGTAAGCCCCATTATTCAACTATTAGAAGAAAACAATACTTGATCTTACAACTGAGTCCTGATTTGTGAAATTTCTGGCCCAAGAGTTGCGAAAACTTGTCATCGGGATAATATATTCATTAATTGTGTTTCCAGACACTTTTATCTTCAAAGTCACGACCAAAAAAAAAAAAAAAAGAAAATTAATTGTGACAAGCACCAGTCATTTGTCTATACATATAAATAGGCTATTGTGAAATTCACCAAAAGCTTCCCATGTTACAGCTGTGTCGAGCAAGCCCACACTCGAGTGTTTGCCAGACTTGGAGAGAAAGCTGCAGGAGACCAAGAAAATAGCCGTTTTCCTGAAAAATGTCCGGAAACAGTTCATCTCTCAAGCATGCCAAGAGGGGATGAAAAAACAAGGATTATAGAGCTTTGCAGCAAATTCATGGACAGTAAGTTATCAAATAGCACTTGGAAGCAAAACAATACGTACCAAATCAGGATTTATGGATGTACAATTCTCCTGGGGGTGGTAAATAATCACAGAAATCAGATTATAACGACCACATTTTTAATTCAATAGCACGAGGAAATGACAAAAACCTGTGACGTGTTTCATTTTTGTAGCTTGACGTAAACATGACAGAACTCACTTGCTCCTCCAAAACATTGATTCAATATGCACACAAGATTGTTTAGCTTCGTAATACAAGCCAATACACGTGGAGTTCTTCTATTTAAAAATAAAAACAATTGGGGGGTGGGTGTGGAGTAAAAATATTTTGTTGATTCCATTTCAAATGTGCAGATGCAGTCAGGCTTCAGATGATTTGATGTTACTTAGCACAGGCAGCTCCTCGACGTAGGTGGATGGAAAATGACCCGTCTGGCCATTGAGTGCGCCAAACCACCAGCCATTCTCTTCCTTGGTGTAAATGTCTAGCAGATCTCCTGTGAACACACGTTAGTTTTATACATCTCCATTCTGCTTTTTGCTGATTTTGGACAGTATTCCCTTCCCCACCCGTACCTTCTTTCAGAGTTAATTCATCACTGCGTTGAGGTGTAAAGCTGTATAAGGCCTTGCATTGTCCCACGGTGCAAACGTCGGGTGTTCTATGAACTGTACGTTTAATTTTAATGTTAAGCATAATGCAAAAAAACAAAAAAAAAAAACACAAGAATGCAAAAAACAAAAAAAAAAACCACAAGTTCCAAATAAAAATTTACTTTCGGTAAAAGTCCTACCGTGTTCTCTCGGCTCTTGTGCGTGTGTTGGGGTTTGAACAGGGTTCTCTGATTCCTGTAACGGTGCAGTGCCAGAGATCTGGCCACCGGATGCAAGCTCTTCACTTGGACATTTTGTAGTCTGAACGGGTCCTTTGTAGATGATGGATGCTCTCAGTGAGTGTCTGGTCCTGAAGGGAGTCTTCTTCAGTTTCACCGGCCGAGTCAGCTGCACCACAGTGTGCTCGCAGTCCTGATGGGATCATCGGTATCACATCACTCGTCAAATGCAGTAAAACCCACTGCTATCGCTAAAATCTGTAAATAATTAAGACGCCCGAAAAATGGTCCATACGACTGGAATTGCCTATTGAAGCTACAAAATGGCAGCGATGTACTACTTTTGTCTAAATGAAGTTCCTCAACTCACTTCAGCTGTTCCTTGGTGGCAAGATGTCACCGGAATACTGTTATTGTTTTAGCCTGAGCACAAAACAACAAATAGGTCATGGAGAATGGCTTGCATTTTTTTTGGGGGGGCAGGGGCAAATATGCTGAGGTTCACTGGATACAGTATAATGTTCATTAATGGATTCCTTCTAACACTGTATCGAAAAATGGGGCAATCCTCGCGACTATCAAAATTCGATTCCACTTTCATGTTATTTGTGGTGTTCAAATTTCCTGCTTGTGGATGTCTTGGCATATGTAAAGCTGTTGACGGTGGTGCTTAAAGAGAGACTACGGCCGCACGCGGTGCTGCATTAATTAGCATTTAGAGTGGATTTTTTTTTCCCCCAGCCACAACAGTCGGGGTGTCCAGAAAAAAAAAAAAATAGGACATCACGGCGATTGTGCCCTTCTGTGAACGATGGAGCATGAAATATGTGTTGATTGTGAACTACTGCACAGTGCTTAAAAAATGTATTCGCAAACCACTCGGTGTTAATCTTAGGCCACAACTGCCCAAATTTAACAATATCTGGAACTACTAAAATCACTTTGTCAATTCTCCACATGTAAAAAGCTCTTTCACCAAATGTTATTTTCACTGGTCAAATATAAACAGTGTTTGACAAAAAGCATGCCTATTTTTGAAAAAGTCAAATTAAGAGTTCATTTACCACAGAAACAATTTAGTGGTTTCACCATTACGCTTGATTCATTTGCAACCTTTCAGAGAAGCAGAGCGAGCCGACTCAAATTTGGGAAAGGAAAGGTGAAATCACTTCGAAACCTATTATTTCACGGCATTACATATCATACATTACTTTGTTTTCATAAGAAAAATCATTTCTGTAAGTTGATTTTTTTTTCTCCACCTCTCAAAAATAGGCAAAGTTTGGATTCCTACGGCATTTCAGCGTACACATGGTAGTTACGCTGAACGAGGTGTAAATGGGGGCTCCTTGGGGGGGGGAAATATTCTTACCTGTTAGTTATCCCTTGACCTAAAGAGCTCGAAAAGTCCAAAATAGGCGATATAGGGCTACAACTGTTAGTTAACAGTTGACAAAACACACACACACAGCGTACCTTATCTCTCCATTTGACAATGCAGTCCCTAAATCGGTGGAAAGGCTTGGGTTTGCCCTCGAGTTCACACAGCGACACAGAGAGTTTATAGTGCGTAGCCTCCAGGAGATCCAGCTTCAGAGTGCTCTGGATTCAAGAAGAAAGAGACAGCAATCGCTGAGCTTCTCGTTTGTCATCCGTCCGCAAAAGGCACGACACGGCGCGCACCTACCTCATCAAGCTGCTGCTCGGTTTCCTCCAGGTTCCTCTGGTTAGAAAAGGACGGGTTTTCCGAGTAGGTTTTCATCAGCTTTTCAATCCCTGCGACAAGACCACGGCGACACTTTCAGTTGAACTCCGGTCACTTCCGGTCACTCAATTGAAACAGGTTGACATTATTAGCGCGGGTTGCCTTCGCAGTCTTTTTTTGCTTTCAAGATGGCTTCCTCCAAGCGGTGGAGTTTCAGTTGAATGGCTTCTCTTCTTCGCTCCCTGCACATGAGTGATTTGGCGTCTTCCTCCTGATGCACGTCACACAAGCAGAGTCTCCGATGAAAATACGTTGGCGCATAATACAGTGAAATAATCTCTGTATGTAAGAAATGCTTCTGGTAATTATCACTTATGATTAACAGTGTATGATGACATCCAGTTCTACACAATTTCAATAAGCAACAATGCATTATATCCCTTTAAAGATCGGACGATTGAACACAAACGGTGGAGCAATACATAAATATAGCAGGCATATATTGTTTATCCCCTGCGAAGAGAGGGAGATATGGCTGCAGTTTACTGAGGGGTGACCATCTCCTTGCATAATCTGTATTATACTGCCCCCAAGTGGCCACGGTGCGCATACCAAATACGCAGAGTAAACGTACAAAATAATCCGTCATCAAAAATTCGGCTTTGTTGTCCGCTGTCGTGGTGTTGTTCTCCTCCACCAGCATTTGTGTGTCTTTGTCCATGTCCACTCTTTGCACCAGTAGCTCGATCTGCTTTTGGCCCTGGAACGGTCGCGTTCGTCATCGTTAATGCTCGCGATAACGGCTTGACAATAATCAACAGTATAGTGGCGATTTATTTATTTACATGTTTGAGGGTCTGGCCAAAACTGGACATGTGCAGGTTGTAGCGGGTCAGGATGTTGCAAAGAACTTCAATCCGTTGTTTCTCGAGCTCCTGAACGACCTGCAAAAAGCAGCAATCAAGCACTAAGTGGATGGATATCGACTTAACAGGACAAGTAGTTGAAAAGCAAAAACAGAAGACAGAATAAATTAGACACTCTTCGGCGTTGTTTGTGAAACAGTCTTTTGAGGTGACTTTCAGTCCTCTCTCCTCCGTAATGAAACGGACGTGATGTGCGGGCACCTGGTAGCAGTTTTTGAGCGTATTTTCCCACTTGAGTCTCATCTGTTGGCCCTCCATGTTGGTATTGAAGTACTCCTCGTCCACTCGCGCCTGTACCTCTGCCGACTTTGTCAACCGATTGAGCATCTGCAAACCAGCGCGGCGAGTCAAATCGTCCCGTTGTGGGTCACCCAAGTGATATGCGGCATTCGGGGAAAATGGCTGACCTTTTGTTTTTCTTTCTCCGTGGATAGTTGCTTATTACTCTCGACAAAGTTGAATAAAGCCTCGTGCTCCCGTGTTAATCCAGCCAGTTTCTTCTTGGTCTGTTTCAGAACACAACAAATACGGACATGATGGCGTAAGCAATTTATAGATTTTGTTTGTTTGTTTGTATAGAGCCCCCCCCCCCCCAACTTGTCAAGGTGCGTTGTATGACTTGAAGTTGAGTCCCTGCAGTTCTAAACTGTCTTGTAAAAATTAACACCAGGATGGGGCTGCCCTTATCATCCCCGCTTTGAGTTCACCAATGCAGAAAGAGACGAAATGGGGCGCGTTCAGGCTCTTCTCCTTGGATCTGTTTGAATAGACGTCACCTTGAGTTGCTCAGTCCAGTTTGTCATGACAAGTTTTCCCGTTCTCTCAATGGCATTGTCGAGCTGTTGGAAAAAAAGAGAGGGCGTCCGTCAACAGTCACGCTGCATGGAGTTGTTGTTATTCATTTATTTTTTTGTTTACATACTGCCTACAAAGGTGCTTTGAGTGACCAGATGTGCAAGTTTTTCGAGATCATTATTTTTTTAGCTCGCTTTTCACCCGATATTTGAACATAAATAGGCTGGCGATATAACAATACTCGCACATATTTTTTATCCTCTGCGAAGAATGGCTAATATTACTGTGCCCGCATTGTAGCGTATTTCCCCTGGTGGCCAAAGTGCGCACACCAGAAGGAGTAGCACAATGTCCAATGAATTGAAGAGCTCGATCGATATTAAAAAAAAAAAAAAAAAAAAAAAACACACACAGGCCTCTTTCTCTTGTAGTGCTCGTCTAAGACTTGACGTAATTCCAGTATGGCCTCCTGCTGAAACGCATTTCCCAATGATCTAAAATGAAAAAAATAAAATAAATGCATTGAGCATCCTTTTATTCATGACGACATCATCATCATCGGTGCTTTCAAATAAAGAGTACCTGTGGGCGTCAGCTCGGGAGTACATCTCATCTGACACCTGACACCAGGCACTGTAGACCGAGCTGAAAACATGAAGGGTTACAGCTTCACACCCGCGTGTGCTTTGATTCCATCTGCTGGGATTCTATCATGTATTTAAACAACAAAACTGCATCCCTTACTTGTTGGTCATCCCTTTGGAAGCCCTCATAAGTTTTCCAGCCAGTTTTTGGAGCCCCTTAGCATACGTGTGGTCGAGCTCAGACCTAAAACGGGCGTCATCAAGTCATAACGCTTTCAAAGTCATTCAAGCGTGACGTGCGCCACTGCATTTCTTCTACCTTTGCTGCAGAACGCCCATAAGTTCTTTGCAGAAGTACTCGCCATCTTTTGACACTCGTTTGACATTTTGATACAGCTCGTTGTACTGAAACAGCACATAAGAGACTTTAAAACGCCACCCGATTGTTCAGACCAAAGACATAGGAGAACAAAACAAAACAAAAAAAAAAAACCCAGGACAGATCATTTGGAAATGAAAGCGTTCGACGCAGATACTCACGGAGCAGCGGCTGATATAGTCCTTCATCTTAAAGACTGAAGCCGTTTGTAGACTTTGGACCTGGAACTTTGACCACCCCCTCCCGAAGTCACTCATGCGGAAATCACCTGAAGTAATGTCAGTGGACTTTACAAAGGAACATTCCAGCTCAGCCTCAGCTATTAATTATGTTAAATAAGATGACAATCCAAAACATTTGAGCTTTACTCTGCAGAGCACTTTCATATACTTGCTCCCCCCCCCCAACTCAGTTTCAGTTCACCTTGTCCAGAAAATATGTCACCTATTTTTTAAAAAAAAAAAAAAAAAGCAACTCACACACATTGGAATGATATTTCATATCATGTTCATTTATTGAAACAACTCATGACTGCCGAGTACAAGGCACACGAGCAGAAATGCGCCGCACGACTTGACAAAATGCTTCGACGGGGAATACAGCATCTAGGCATATCTGATGCACACACATAATACTGTTGTTGACATCTCATATACAGCTTAAGTGGACAATGTAAGTCCCCCCCACCCCCCCAAAAAAATAAAGGTGAGCCAATTCCACACAATATGTCTTACCAATCATCATTTTGGCAAATCTTTGGGGGTGTAGCATTGAAAGTAAATGCGAGAAAAATAAATAACACAAAAAGACAGCGAAAGTAGGACACACCCCGCCCCCAGAATGCCAGACGACTGCGTATCGACATAGCATGCGGTAAAAATGGATAAAGTGGATTGATTTAGAGTGCCGATGCGAATATGCCGACGAGGAGACGAAAAGGCATGTCGTTGAACTGAAAACAAAATGCCCAGAATGCGCTATGTGATGTTTGCTGTTGTCTCCACACTCACACACACGTGCACACATGGACGGATGCTCGCTTCAGCGCTGTGACGGTTCACTCAATGTTCATCAGGATAGGAGGCTCCTGTCAGGTAGCCGTTGGTCCCGTGAGATTTGTTGGTCCCGTTAGTGGTGCTGTTGTGGGGTTTCTGTTTGGCTGGAGGGCTGTCATCCTCGTCCGAGCTGGACTCAATGTCGCTGCAATCATCCTTTGACACCTGAATTTAAAGACGTTTCACGTTTAAACGGCTCATATGACTTAGGAACATTTATTGATGGTTTAATGAACTTGGTCAATGTATGATGGAGGAGCATGGGGTAGATTTACAAACAAATAGCAAGGCAAATGTGAATTCTATGCTGCTAGCATGGCTAAAATTGCGTTGCTAAATTATGCTAAAGACTAGAGTGAATATGGTGTCGAGTAAACTAGTCAGTGAGTCAAAGAGTTGACTTTTTATTCATGCGTTTCGATGCTTGAAGTGGACGAATTGCTAATGGCGTTTTGTCTTCCAATCAGCCAACTTGCCCGTCTGTTTCTGTCGTCATATGATAACGATCTGTAAGCGCTGAAATGTCCAGCCACTATTTTAAGACTCGTGCCGATCGGACTAGCTCAAGCTAGCAAAGCTGTTAGCTCCGCATTGCTAGCTTTAGCTAGTCCGATCGGCGCTAGCCTTAAAATAGTAAGGACCAACATCAAGAAAATGGTTACGTTATGACAGATGTCATAACAACTGTGGCAGAATATAAATCCTATGTAAACCTATCCTCAAATACACTAAACATAAACGAAATTGAAATTTTGGGCAGCTTGCCAACCATAGTGTAGCATTCTTATTTCCCCCCCAATAATACGCCATGCAGATAGCGTGTAAACTTCAGTTTCGCTACTTACATGTAAAGGATTCAATTTTCCCACCTTGACGGTTGCAGGTTAGCACAGAGAGTAGAAAAGGGAAGTCAGAGATGGCTATTGTCACTATTTATTGACTAAGCAATGACAGGTAGCTCAGCAATTGTGATTGTAACATTTACCTTTCCTTTGGAGATGGCTTGGAATGCCGTCTTTACTATAAGGTAGGACCAGTAGGAGTGAAGAAGCTGCAGCAAGATTAGAAGCAGGTTGAAGACCCACCAGGATGGGTAGGGACCAACAATGTCCCAACTCTCAAACAGGGTGGTGTTTAAAATCCTACCGGACAGAGAGGACAATGGAGAACACGGTGAACAGTGTTGGCATTAAAAAGGCGATGGATTGCTTCGGTGATGTTTATATCTAATAAAATCCTTGAGCCGTTTCTTGGAAGTGGCTGTCAGACTCAAGCTGAACATCCGGATGTCATGGCAACCGCTTAAGGGAAATAGCAACTTTTAAAATTGGCGTGGTGGTGGCTGGAAAAAAAAAATTACAGTGCGTACACAGAAATGTGCCGACAGGGCCAGCGCAAAGCCTGACGAGCGATTCAATGAATATTCATTGAAGGCAAAAACAAGCTAAATGAATGTGTCACATTGAAGGAACTACGTCAGATTAGCCGATGACTAGTCACACACTAAATCATGTTTTCCTCATGAAAAACAACAACACCCAAATGACAAGGTGACATTCATGACGAACCCAAGCAGGAAATAAACACCTCTTTGTAATATGAATGAAGACAAGACCACCGGGAAGCCTTACAAATTGCTCTGGCCACTAGACACACTTTTTCTTTTTGTTGTTGTTTCGCAAGCCATGAACCATAATCATTTTCTTTTCATTTATGGAGTTCTTTGAATCTCCAAGAGACCGTATCCATAGTAACTATTCCTTAGCAACAACATTCACAGACATGTGTGTGAGGTGTTGAAGTGAAATCTTGGGGGGGGGGGGTTAAAAGACAAATGTTTCACTTTGAGAATTAAGCTCAGCCTGCATGTAAACATAAAAATGACAAGGTTGTTTGCTCTGGTCCGAATAACGTTTAAACAAAGGTGCCTTTGTGGTGTTATTATTATCCCAGGTGAAGATGTTTGCTCCACTTTTCGCGAACACATTACGGCCAGCCGCGAGCCATCAAGAGCATGCCGACGACTGTAAACTTCACAGGAAAGCGACACTTACCACACTGGGTAAACTGCCAGCCTGGAACTTATGAAAAGGGTTGCAAACATTGCAAACAGGAGGTTGCACAATATCTGACATTTGGCATAGTTGGCCATCTTGGCGGCCTAAGGAAAAACACAAGACTGATTAAACAACAGACTAATGACATCGGATTAAAAAAAAAAAATGGCGTACAGTCATTTTACACAACATTAATTACAGTACGGCAGTTCCTTGAGATACGAGTGACCCAACCGTGGAGTTTTGGGAGATATGAACGACCGGTCTTTTGACTCATTTGATGCTTTGAGTACTCTGGCATATTTTTTTTTTCTGGAATGGCGATTAAGATGAACCACATGACAAGCGTTTCACGCTACCGCCCGCCCTCACCTCTATCAGGACGTCAGCCGCATCATGGAGGCACATGACCAGAGTCCCGACTCTTGCCATATTGTTCACATAAGAGAAGGTGATGAGGGAGATGGTTGCCAAATGGTGAAGGAACATAATCAGGAAATCCTGTCGATACAGATTACAATAACGTCAGTGCAAAAATCTCATCTTTTTTTTTTTTTTTTTTTTTTTTTGTATTTTGACGATGTCGATCCTCAACATGACAATATTTTGAATCGGAAACGCAAAACAGCACAAATTGGACAGAAGCACAATTCTTAATCAAGGATTAGGCCAATCAAGGATTAGGCTTGGCCATTCCTAAATCTGTAGTGTGAATCTTACCATAAACATTTTTACTTCCTTATTGATTATTTATTTATTTTTTGCTGATGTGACCCTTCATTCCATAAAACACAGGTGTGAAACTCAAGGCCCGGGGGCCAGATGTGGCCCGCCACATCATTTTAAGTGGCCCGCGGAAGCAAATCAAATATGACAACTTCCATGATGCTTGCTAAAATCTGTACCAAAAATTCAAAATTTCATATGTAATAAAAACAGTGACATATTATTAGCATTTCCTTGTTACCAAACCCCACATTACAGTTACTTAAACAACAATTGAATAAAACATGATTCTTGACTTCTTTATATAGTTTCGGTCATCACAGCCCTCCAAGGGAAACGGTAATTATAATGTGGCCCGCGACAAAAATAAGTTTGGCACCCCTGCCGTAAAACAACAAAAACAAGACTGAGAAAGGTCTTTTGATGGCAAGCTCGTATATTTACAGAAATGCAACCCTGAGGGGCAACGTGAGCGACGTTGACTCACCGCATTGCTCCAGCGGAACGTCAGTGGCTTTCATACATGAACTGTGCCATCTTTTCAAACGATCGGATCACACGCTTTGCGCGACTCTGACCGTACTCCGTTTATTCCACGCATGTTATTTTACACCTCCTTTTACAAGGTAATGACCTCATTGTGAATTCTCATTTGCATGGATTACTGACTACCCTTTGAAAAATTACGAATATGACATCGGCACTGGAAAGCTTCAAAACGGTGACCGGCAAGGAAGCAGACATCGATCGAACTTTAGCACCGGAAATGTCAGCATTCAGAGCAACCAGAGCCAGGCCAGCTTGGCGACAGAATGAGAAGGAAGACAAAGAAGGACAGGAAGGATGGAGAGGACAGGCGAATGAAAGCAAGATGAGAGAAGTGTGAGGGGATAACATACTGGAATTGGCAGGGGATGCAGAGGACCTCCTCAGTGTAGTGCTGTGCATGAAAAAACTGAAAGGAGAAACAAAAAACAGACAACATGCCGAGAGTCAACACAGAGATGACAGAGTGAGAGCGTACACACTGTGGCATCACATGTGTTGTGGTCAGGGTAGACAGAGTGGGGGGGATAAAATCAGGGCTGAAATGCATGCAAGTAACAGTGCACGAACCAAATACATTATGTACGTGGCCACGTTTATGATTTAAAAAAAAAAAGGACAAACAAAATGATTGAAAATGGGTTGACAGTGTTCCATGCCTACGTTGAATACTTATTTCCCCGAAATTTGGGCAAGTGGTACAGTCAGGGTGTAGAGCGTCTAGAATCTAGAATCTCCAAATTGTTGCGGCCGTAATACCTCTGGAAGCATCAGATATTTGAACACAAATGATGGAGCAACCGGATAATATAACAGTACTCACAGGCACATATTATTTATCCTCTGCCAAGAATGGCTAATATTACTGCAGCTCACTGAGACGTTTTTGCCCGTCTCCGTATATCCGTAACTCTGTATTATACTGCCCCCATGGGGACAAGACGCACACAGCAGAAGGAGCAGCGCACTGTCCATTTAAGTGA